GTCGTTGGCCGTCCATGCTGTCATTTGTGTTCTTCCGGATCGGCAAACCTGCTGGATTTCTCGGTGGAAGGCCTGAAGGGTCGACGTTGTGTCGTCGGCCGGGGATGGCGGACGTCCGGGCCGAGCCGTGCGCGCGGTCGGCCTCGCCGACGAACCACCAGGAAAAGGTCGTCGCGTAGTCAATCTCGCCGAGGGCTTCGGCCATGGGCTTGCCCGTCTCGTGGACGACGATGCGGGCCAGGTCATCGCGCGCCGCGACGATGAGCTGGTGCCAGGCCAGCAGCAGTTGCGCTCGCTTTCGCGGCGTGTACTTGGAGTAGGACTGGAACGCCGCATAGCTGGATTGGACCGCCGGCTCGACGTCGTCTTCGTCGTTGTCGGGGCACGAGGCCCAGGCGTTGCCGTTGCCGGGATCGAGAACATCAAAGGTCTTGCCTTTCTTTGCGGCAACGAACTCGCCATTGACGTAGGAACTGAACTGCAGGAGGTTCTTGTCGGCAAGCGTAAAGGGAAGCTCGCCAGGAGCCGTTGTGTTGTGCGAGGTCGCCATAGTTGGTTGGCGATGGCGGGGTACTAGGATGTGAGAGAGACGCTGGACAACGAGGCAACAGGAGACTGATAAAGAAACTATTGATGTTCCAGAAGTCGTCGGCGCATATCACCATATCACCAAACGTTGCGATGATCGGGCAGTCAATAGTCTTCTTTCCTCATTGGGTATATCTCACCACTCCTACTTGCCTAGGTACCTAGGCAGTTCACTACCTCGTCTCCGTCTGATCATGAGCTTCACGTCGCCCCGCACCGCAGCTCGGCAAGTTGGGGTAGCTCCACCATGGCGCCTGCTAATCCACTGGTGCTTCCCACCAACGAGCGGGGTACAACATCGAGTGAGTGGCACGCTCCGGAGGGGTCCGCGCCCATGACAGTGATCCCTCGAGGCCTGTTGTCGACTGGTTGCTCTTTAATGCTTGTGGTTGGCGGGCTTGCGGGTGCGGCAGGATGCTGGCCCCAAGCATCACTGTCATGAAGGGGGCATGTCATCTGCCAACGAGGACACTAGTAGCTCGGTGGCTACGCACGCCAGGTGTTTCTCGTAAAGACTCTGAGCGGGTATTGAAGCATGGTGTTGTTGAGTATTTGCGGTCATCAACCCTGAGTTCCTCCTCAACATTGCTTGAAGCTTGGTGCGAGTTCATAGCAGCTGTGTTTTCTGGTCAAACTTGACATCGTGGCGAAGCGCTGCAAGTGTGAGGGTGAATGGTCTCAAAACAAAAAGTGCAACCCAGAATGGCCTCATATATCATGTTCGCAAGTAGGCCGACATCTGCATTGAATCCTGCAAAGATACTTTAAGCCATGTGGAAGACAGGGTGGCTTGATATCTGTCCGGACATTGTCTAGCATTCTCCCGAGAGGAAAGACATCAAATTAATCAGCCAACTCTGTCTCCCTCCGCAGCCTGGGATTCTGGCCATGCAACCTGACACCATGTGTGTGATGTAGACACGATCGTAACCCAAGAACTTCGTGACCCCCCCATGTAATACACTACACGCCCACCTAGGCCATGGTTGTAATATCCTCGTCGCCGACTCTCGCCTTCTTTTCATCCACGCGCGCCTCCATGTGGACGACATCGGTCGTCTTGAGGAAGTCGTCCAGCTCCTTCCGCTGGTCGTCCGAGACATCGGTGATCCTGACGGCCACGTCGTCGCCGAAACGGGCCGAGATCTCCTCCAGCGAGAGTTTAGCCGTCTCCGGAAAGAAAAGGTACACCATGGGGATCAGGAAGATGCACCAGACAATGATGACAAGGTAATATTTCCACCCAACAGTGACAATACCGATTGGCGCCGTCTGCAGCAGGATAATGGTGCTCGTGAATTGACCGAAAAGCGAGAAGCCCATGCCGATGGGGCGGATCTCCGTGGGGAAGATCTCGGCGACGTAGAGGTACATGGTGGTGTCACAAAGTGCGCTGACAAGATGAACCTGCCGTCAGCTTCGTCTCCAGGGCCGAGCGGTGAGTTGTGACTTACCCTTGAAAGGCAAGATAGAGAAACACCAAGAAGACGCCGGCTGCGTTGCCGGCTTGGTTCAACGTGCCGCTAAACTCTGCAATGCACGCGGCGAAACCGCTGGTCGTTATGAGGCACCTAAAGAGACCGACGATGAACATCCAGCGACGCGAGTTGACCTTATCATGGAGCCATGCGCCGAGAGGATTGCAGATGACACCGGCGGTGGTGAGCCATAGCGCCGAGAGAAGCAGCGGCATGCATCCCGTCTGGCCGAGGTTGGTGTACAGGATGACTCAATAGTCGTTCTATGGCATGTCAGTCATGTCAACCTAAAGTAGATCTGGTACTCGGCTTACAATGATTAGCGGGCCAGCAAATTCAGCACCCCATTGTGTCAGAAAGCCAACGGCCATGCGCTTCCGATAGCTCTTCTTCTTGATCACAGCTGTCCACGGCGTGCAGCCGATGGCCTTGGGTTTAGCCGCGTCCAACACAATCTGCTCGCGTACTTGATAAATCTCCTCCCGGGCGACAATGTCGTGGGGGTCGTCGTCAGACTTGCGGAGGTTCTGCACCACCTTCCAAGCCTTTTCGATCTTGCCCTTCTGGAGTAACCAGCGCGGCGACTCGGGAATCCAGAAAGACGCGGTCAGCAGGATGAGAGGTGCAAAACATTGCATAAACAGCGGGAACCGCCACGCAAACTCAGGGTTCCGGGCGGTTGCAAAGTAACATGCGTATCCGAGCCAGCCCGACAGCATGTACCCAAAGACAAGGAAGATGGGATGGTGGCCGACGAGCCACCCTCGCTTCTCGGGCGGCAAGAGTTCTCCCATGTACATCGGACAAACGGTGACGAGAATGCCGATGCCGATGCCCGCGAGTATACGGCCGGCTTGGAACATGCTGGCCATGTCAGGTTGAAGACGAAAACACCCACACCAGCGTCGAACTCACCCGAGATTCGCTGCACCGCCTTGTAAAGCGCCGCCGAGAAGTGAGAAAGGGCCACCAATCTGGATACATCTCTTTCGACCGAGAGCTGTAGCAGCCTACATAATGAAGAGTGTGCCTATGGCTCCGCCAGCGCTGTAGATGCCATTCGCTGTCGCGATGGCATCGGTGGTTTTGGATGCATATCCAGGCTCGCCCTGCAGCGGAAGATCGAAGAACTCGTACCAACCAGGCTGTCCAATAGTGCTTCCTATTACCGAAGAGCAATGGCCGTAGGTCTGGAGAAGAGTCAGTTTCTGTATTATTCACATGTAATATTTTTTTGTTAGGGCAAGATCTCACAAGGGATCCAAAATGCAACTGCAACCGTGACCAGTCGGTTGTACGTTGTGGTGCGTTTGGACTTGGACCGAGATGCCCCCATGACTGTTGATGAGTATGCTTTTGAACTCCGGTTAAATTATGCTTCTCTGTTCCCGTGGCCTCTTGAATGAGTGACACGAGGAAGTGTCCGAGTAAATGTGTGTGGTCAACACTAGGCACGTCCAGGAGGTGGCTTGCGGGGTCCCCACGATGCTGAACTGCCGGTTTCTGGGGCCCCGGAGCTTGAGCTGTCTCCACGGATGTACCACTGTGCAGTTGCTTGCCATGCGATTTGTGTGACTGCTATTCGACCTGGGGTGTGATGGTGTGATATTGGACGGCTGCCCCGCCGCCACGTTCGGCGCTCTCCTTCTGAGCGGCATTGAGATCCGCATCGGCATCGCTTCCACGCGTGGGCACTTTCAACTTACTATGCCACAAAATCGATTAGTCGAAGAGCAATGTTTCCCTCTAGTGATCAATAGCGTGATTAAAGGCTGGGGACGGGTTCATGTGGCTGGGGGCATCGCCGTGTGACGAGGTTGCTCGGAGCGTGCCGCCGCCAACACGGAAGCTCAGTTCATGATGTGACTCCGGGCGACAGGCTAAGTCCCCGAGGAACTTGAGCAACATGAAGCTGCTGGAATCCAGCATACGCCGCCAGGAGTGCTTGGAGCAGGAACAAACTGTAGGGAGAGGACGTCGTTCAATCTGCCTTCTCTTTTCTTGACTTCGTGCACTCCCGACGCCCACCATCCCGGATTTCACGCATCGAACATGGGCTCACTCAAGATAAATCTGTCCCTCCACGACATGGAATATGATTCTCTACCGGATCCGCGACGAGTCTGGACGGGTGCTCCTGGCTCGCGAGAAGAGGGGCTCGGCCGGCTTGTGCTGCTGACACCAGATGTCGTGGCCAGAGCTGCCAATTGCATCAAGACCGGTTGCCGTGTGGGGATGAATTGGGATATGAACAAACTCGATGTTGCCAACTTCAATCGCGCGCCGACACAACATCATATTGTTTCCCTGCTCGGAGGCGCCGCTTACGAAGACGTGTACATTTTCAACCCCCAGCAATCGTCGCAGTGGGAAGGGCTTCGTCACTTTTCCGCTGCGTTCCCCACACCAAACGAGCCGGAAAGGCGGCTCTTCTATGGCGGCGTGACGTCGAGAGAAATTGAGGACCGGAATAATACACGAATCGGGCTGCAACACTGGGCACGCGAGGGCATATGCGGAAGGGGCGTTCTGTTGGATTACGTTCGTTATGCTGAACGCCATTCGATCAAGTATAGCACCCTTTCCGACCACGCTATCCCTCTCCATACGCTTCAAGACTGTGCGAAGGAGCAAGGCGTCACGTTTCGCCGCGGAGACTTGCTTTTTGTGCGTATTGGGGTGACGCAGGAATGGGACACCAAGATGATTGCTTCAGACAAGCTCGCATACGCCTCGAGCCCAAACCCACAGCATGCTGGGATAGAGGGAACCGAGGACATGCTGAGATGGATCTGGGACGAAGGGTTCGCGGCTGTTGCGAGGGACGCTATCTCTTTTGAGGTATATCCACCAAAGAAATCTCACTCAAGGGGCGAGGGCGAGGCTGAGGTTTCTGGGGTCTTTCTCCACGAATACCTTCTCGCTGGCTGGGGGATGCCAGTTGGAGAGCTCTTTGACCTGGAGGAGCTGAGTAGGATATGCGAAGAAGAGAAGAGGTGGGAGTTCTTTGTGACAGCGGCCCCGCTGAACATGCCTGGGGGGGTATCTAGCCCTCCAAATTGCATTGCCATCTTTTGAGAGCAGCGCAGATTTCCGTGTCAACCATTGGTTTTCAGATTGAACACGATTTATTGAAGTCATTGGGTACGTTACTCAGAAGCCGTTGACGTCGAAAATGTGCAAAATCTTGGTGAACTGGTCTGCTAATCCCCAGCACTTGAGCCTCTGCATCATCAGCTGTGCGTCCCGGCTGATGGCTGGTACACAGTCATCGGCCAGGATGTTGACGACGGAACCCAGGCCGGCTGGGCCACCATCGTCAATCCACTGCAGCGTGAACTGTTGCTGGGCTGGCTGGTGAAGCGGCACATCGAGGCGGATCGGTGTCTTGCCTCCAGGCATCAGCTCGGCACGGGGTCCATAGGATGAATAGGCGAGGATGAAGACATAGCCCATGAAAGTGCGCATGATTTCGCACGGCGCCGATACGAGATACTCGTTGGCAATTGCTATGATTTGTGCAGCATGGTGAACAAGCCTCCGACTTGATCTTCGGTCTTGGGCGAACGAGGATCTCAGTCGCTTCCGCGCAACCTCGATGCCTTTGTGATGCTTGGCACGCTGGGATATAAGACTGCGGACAATGTAAATTATGACACCTGTGACGTCGTTTGCAGCGTAGAGGTGCGAGTAGTGGCAGAGAAGCCCCGTGATACTAAACGCGGGTCAGCTGAGGTCGTTGAAGGTCATCAAACAAACCTTACTTGTAGCTAATGAGTTCCGAGGTCGTTGAGACGGTGCCCATAGACTCCAGTAACTTCCGTAGTGCACCAAGAAGCGATTGTTTTGACTGCTGGTGGGCACTCAATAAGGAAGTCAGTCCGAAATGCTCGGGCATTGCCACAATCTCGAGTTGCTTCAAGTCCCAAAGCAGACGTCCAATGACCTGGCCGCAAAGTCTCTTAGCCCAGGTACCGAGGCAGCTGGGAAAGGCGTGACCAGCTAACACAGCTTTGAGTATCGTGGATAAAGTAGTGCTCAAGCTCCCAGGTCCAAGGCGGGACCGTAAGGCAACCCAAGCTTGGGCTGAAGGTGCATTCCACAGAGACTCAGTACAAGGCAGCGTCCTGGGTAGTTCACTTAGGTCGACGGCACCCCGGTGGCTTGTGAGCGTGCAAAGACTGCAGTCATACTCGAAAGAGGCCCATGCTGTCCTTTGTTCCTTCTCCCGGCTTACCCAGAGGGACCACTCTTAGTCGGCATGCTTGGGGTCGGTCGCCAGAGAGACTTCGTGACCGTCATCTTCGCCAACACTCCATCGACTACTGAGAAGTCCCATCCCTCTCAGGCTTCCAATGAGTATTCCTCGAGAGCGATCAGCATTTTGATACAGTTGCCGATTCCCAGAACCGAGGGAACAAATCTGATGTAGACAGAGTGCATTGAGGTACGAGATGTTGCAATAGTAGGTTCCGTCAGAAGCGCCCTGTTGTTTCTTAGCGAAGGACGGAGATGTATCATTTAAAGGCTGACATACCAGCCAAGTAATCATCGGCATGCAAATGTCACTGAGTGACCAGGACAACTCTTTATCCCGCTCTTCGTCGGACAACAAAGCTCCAACACATGCCATCGCGGTCAGCAGCACGGTTGGACACTCAGCCGTGTACCAGGTAGGCCGATGAAGTATTGGCTGAATATCGTGGAATCGGGCGAAGTAAAGATCAAGCAATCTTTGCAAGTCACTGAGGGCTTGGGCCGTATTGGCGTCTTGAACATGTGCTGAGGCGGGCAATTCTCTGTCGGACAGAATCTGGATGAGACTATTAAGTGCGTTGTTTCTGTCGGAAGATCCGCCTCGGAAACTGCTTTGTAGTACGTCTCTCAAGGGGGGTAACATGTATCTGTGTGGTGCGGAATCTTGGGCGTGGTCGAAGGGCCATGGCTGAAGTGCCTGCTGTGGCTCCAAGGGCCGTAGTGTTGGGCTTGGCTGTGCTGTCCTCGCTTGTCCTTGTTCAATTGTTGGAGGCCGATCTGGATGTTGCGACGACATCCTCCCTGTTGGCGGGAGAGGCTGAGGAGTGTATGTCTGGCGATCAGACCAGCGTTCGACGGCAGTAGTGTCGATAATCAGAATTTCCTGCAAACCTGGGGTTGACTCGGGCATGTCAAAGTCCAGCCAGTCGAATCCGATTGTACGAAAATCAGGCTGCATCAAGGCAAAATGGGAAGGCGAGATACCAGCGCCATCAGGTTCCAGGGCGTTGATACCGAAGATCGCGTTGTCTGCCTGTCCGAATCCTTCCACCGAACTGACGGCTGAGTCGTTATCGAGGTCATCAGCATGGCGCTGGGTACCAAGGTAGGTCGCGGGGAAGAGGCTATTGCCCGAAGTTGAGTCAGGTGTTTGGAGGATCTGTGGTGTATGTGGGATATCGGTGGACTCGAAAGACGGGTCAAATGCTGAAAAGCCGGCGACGCCCATCACGCCAGTACGCTCGTTGCCATCGAGAGCATCAGGTGTCTCGGACTCGAGATCAGGCGAACGGGAGTGAGATGCGCCGGGAAACTTGCAGATCGCCTGTGCTCCTGTACATGACTGGCAAGGCTGCAAGCGATCGCACTTGAGCTTCTTTGACACACAGCGGTGGCATGATCTCTGGACAGATCGTTTGACGACGAGGTCGACATGGTGAGCGCCGCGCAAGTGGCGGAGGAGGACATTGTTCCGGGAGAATGTTATGTCACAGTGTGGGCATTTGATCAATGACTTTCGGGACGATGGTAGATGCGTAAGACGATGGCGGTGCAGATGGCTGGGGCGAGAGAACCTCGCGTTGCAGTGAGTGCAGGCCAGTGGCTTCTGTCCAGTGTCAGCAGCATACGGCGGTGACAGTGTAAGATGTAACTGTTAGCTTACAGAACCACGGTCTGTAGTTTCGAGGCGTTCGCCCGCCGCCATGGTGTTGGCTGTCTGGTTGTATTGCGAGAAAGACGTGCAAGCCGCACCGGGCGCTTCTCCAGCCAGAGCAAAGGTCAAGTCAAGACAGTCAGGCCATCTCCCCAGGCGTACCTGCCCTGATCTGGGGCGTGCCTGCCCGTAGAAGACCTGAACAAGGACAATGTGGGGATGCGTCGGGCGGGGCAAGATCGCAGCTAGGCAGCGCTAGGAACGCCCAAAGCTTAGGGGAGTCTGCTGTATTACGCGCGCCTGACCTCTACCTACAGCTTAGCTCCATGTACCATTCTCGTCCCTCCCACTTTGAAATAAAACATTTCAGTCCATCCATATTCCCAACACCTTCATAGCAGCCCAACTCATACACAACGCCCTCCGTCAACCTAGCACGCACAGTTAGCCATCATTGTCACCCGCGTGTTATCAACAGGACAGAAGACGTACCTCGATATTGACACCCGTGATGAAAGCCGCCTCATCGCTTGCCAGATAGCAGCAAGAGTTGGCAATGTCTTCCGGTGTCGATGGCCTTCCCAGCGGAATCGTCGACACGAAGCCCTTGCGGTTCTCCTCGGTATCAGGCTTGCCGATGAACAAATGTGTCATGCCTGTGCTGCCCACAACGGGCGACACGGAGTTGAACCGAATTTGGTTCGGACCGTATTCGACAGCCATCGTCTTGGTCGCGTTGATGACGGCAGCCTTGGACGCGTTGTACCATGTCAAGCGTGGCCTGGGCCGCGTGCCCGCCGTGGACGCAATCTGGATGAAACAGCCGGGCCTCTTGTTCTCGAGAAAGTACGGCAACAGCACGTTTGCCGAGTGGTAGACGCCCTTGACATTCACATTCATGACTAGATCAAAGTCCTTCTCCGTCACCTCCTCTGTCGGCTTGTTCGCGTACGTGGCGCCGGCATTGTTGATGACGAGATCGAGCTGCCCGAATCTGTCGAGGGCCAACTTCAGGAGCTGCTCCCAATCCGCGGGTTTTGTGACATCGGCACGCTGAAAGACGGCGCCCAGGTCTTTGGCCACGGCCTGGCCTTGTTCCTCCGTCAGGTCGGCGATGATGACGTTGGCTCCTTCGGCAACGAACTTGGTGGCAATGCCCTTGCCGAATCCAGAGGCTGCGCCCGTCACGATGGCGGTCTTTCCCTTGAGGCGGCCTGACATTGTGCCTTATAGAGTGGCGATGTGACGGTATGGAGTGAAAGGGAAGAGGGCGACAAGGCAATGCAACGATTTCAAGCTGTTTGTTGTTCGACGGGTTGTGTGTTACGGCGGCGTCTGGCTGCAAATGGGATGTTCGTCGAGATCTCAGCCGGCAATCTCCCAGCTTTTGGCCTTCGTTGTCGTCTCAGAGGTAACTACCCCTCCTTCGCTTTCCTGTGACCCATGGCTGTCCTAATAGATTACCTACCGAATTAGGAAAGCAGGTCCAAGTTACCCCAGAATGTACCCCTCAATGGGCCCTAGCCCCGTGGATACTGATCGTTGTCAGTGGTGGCATCCTTGCTGAGCGACGTGGTGGCACACTCCGAGGTGACGGGATGTGCCACAACCCCAACTAGACGGGTCCTCATCAGGCTCATGAGGGGTCCAGAGTCGTGTCAACTCACAAGTCGGCCGCGCGCTGCTTAGCTACTGTCAGAAGCCCGATTTATACCGAGATCGGGTCATGCTTACTGCTAACCTCGCGGTATTCCCGCTGGCTTGGCTTGATTAGCTGCCATGCATCCTTTGCATTGGCATCAAGACTTAAGTAACTACTTGAATCGCGTCTAGTCAGCCCGAGATCGGACGACAGCCGAGAACGCTTGTTCTATCAGAAATGCAAAATGTCTGATGCTTGGAAACTAAGACTAGACACTCACAATCTAAATAGTGCTACAAGTCTGCCATCTTGGGATCCATTAAACTCGGCTGCATCGTTTTCTCAACTTCCAGCGAACGTCACGACCCTACCACCGCAGCCATGTCTGACACAAAGACGTTTCGCATCCTGGTCCTCCCCGGCGACCATGTCGGCCCTGAGATCATGGCCGAAGCTCTGAAAGTCCTCGACGTTGTTCAGGACTCCCGGCCGAACATTCGATTCGAGCGCACCACAGACATTGTCGGCGGCGCCAGCATTGACAAGCACGGCGTGCCCATAACACAGTCGGTCCTGGACGCGGCCAAAGCCTCGGACGCAGTCCTCTTTGGCAGCATCGGCGGCCCCGAGTGGGCCGCCGCCACGCCGACGCCAGAATCCGGCCTCCTGCAGCTCAGGCAGCACCTCGACGCCTTTGCCAATCTCCGTCCCTGCGAGATCCTGGTGCCCTCCCTCGTGGGCAACTCCCCCATCAAGCCCGAGCTCGTCACGGGCACCAAGTTCATCGTGGTCCGTGAGAACTGCGGCGGTGCCTACTTTGGCGAGAAGCGCGAGGACGCCGACGTGGCCTCGGATCTCTGGGTCTACTCGCGCCCCGAGATCGAGCGCCTCGCCCGCGTGAGCGCCGCCGTGGCCCGCATCCTCGGCGACGGCGGCCAGCAGCCGGCCACGGTCTGGAGCGCCGACAAGGCCAACGTGCTCGCCAGCGGCCGTCTCTGGCGCCGCGTTACGTCCGACATCTTCGCCCGCGAGTTCCCCGACGTTGCGCTGCAGCACCAGCTGGCTGACAGCATGGCCATGCTGATGGTGCGCGACCCGCGTCGCTTCAACGGCGTCATCCACACGGACAACACCTTTGGCGACGTCCTCTCCGACATCTCGGGCGGCATCACAGGCACGCTGGGCGTGCTGCCGAGCGCAAGCATCTCGGGCGTGCCGGGCGAGGGCCGATGCAACGGCATCTACGAGCCCGTTCACGGCAGCGCCCCCGACATCTCAGGCAAGGGACTGGCGAATCCTGTGGCACAGATTCTCAGTCTGGCCATGATGCTGCGGTACTCGTTCCTGCTCGAGGCGGAGGCGTCGGCCATTGAGAAGGCTGTGGTGAAAGTCCTAGATGCGAAGGAAGCTGGCGGCCTCGAGGTCAGGACGGGAGACCTGGGCGGAAAGTCGACATGTAGTCAAGTGGGAGATGCTGTGTGTGATGTTTTGATAAGATTGCTTTGACGAGGAGCAGACTGTTTACTGAACTCTTGGCGGAGCTGGTTTGTAGCCTGTCCCGGTGAGCGTGAGGCATTCGAAGAGATGGCACAACCACCGGGACAGGTTGGGGATGCTTCGTTGAATAATAAAACTCGTTCTGTTGTTTTGCGCTCCTGAAAACTCATCCTCCTTGTCTCTTGCCTTGCCTTGACATGTGCTCCTGGGGGGGGGGGGGGGGTATTATATGCGTTCTGAGGTTAAGCACTGGTCTCCAAGGGACCGACAAGGACAAGTAGTCGACACGACAATCACAGCCCAGAGCCTTTCTCTGCCGAACAAAACTCGCTTGATTGAATGATGCATGAACTACCCGGACGCCTACCAAATGCGTTTCGTAACCATTTCATACCGCTGAACGCCGTGATATTCACCCTCGGGTGGTTTATCGGATTTCGCCGGCCGCCCCTTGCCAGCGAGGCCCTCGTCCTTATCGGCATGGATCCATCGCTTCTTCTCATCCGGAATCTCCACATGCCCGTACCCACCCAGCCGCTTTCCTTTTGCGTCATATGAGTCTGGCTCCGCCTGAGCGGTAGCAATAAGATGCTCCTTCTTCTTCATTTTCGCATACCGATCCCTCGAGTAGCGGAGAAGGACCATGCTGAGCAGTATCTTGAAAACGAGCAGAACCAAAAAAGCGATGAAAAACACAACAAGCATGGTCACCGCAGCGATGACATCGTCGGTCGACCAGGAGAACCAGGAGGCCTTGCCGTTCGAGGAACCATTCGCTTGCTGCCCGTACACTGCCCGACCCAGTGCGTCCCGCAGAAGCGAGTCCAGTCGGTCGAGCGCAGCCGTCATGGCAGGCGAAGACGGAGTGGCTGACTCCTCTGAGAGAGACGTCTGCGTTGATCTGATGATGGGCGCTGCAACTCGCGTCGAGACAAACATGTGATATGTCTGAACAGACGCCCTGATGAAGAGGCAAGCCAAGGGCAGCGTAGCAAGTCCAACGCGCCGAGTCAGACTAGGCCTGACAAATGCCTGGACACAATTAGCGGAAAGGCCATGACGCGCAAGCGGCCAGGGGAGAACATACGTTTGTGTAGTAATCCTTGCACAGAATGTCGAGGATTCTACTGTAAAATGTTGGTCTGATCTTGTTGAACTTGTTGATATACGCATGCTTGATGGTATCAACCAGAATCTCGCTTCCTATGACGATGAGAAATGGTGATAGGACCTCGCCTGACCACAGCCAGGATGGCAAGACGGTGAAGCTGTGAGGTAGAATGAAGGGGCTGTGCTGCGGTTTGGTACTTGACACCTTCAAGTCACCGCTGAGACCAGCTCCAGGGATGGAGAGACCACCGACCTCCACAACGTTGCGCATGCCAATTATGAACAACATGAGCCAGAGTTGGAATCTTTCCGTGATGTCTGCGCAAGTCAACTGGAAGAGATTGTCTTTTTCAAAACGCTTGAAGACGGTGCTCTTGACTTCGACGAATTGGTTTGACAGGAGCAAGGTCAACAGAGCGTTGGAGTACGAGTTGACGGCCACGTTGAGCGTAATGACCTGGTAATACAATGCAACGGAATGTATGCAGTTGTAGACGAGAGCGAGAAGGAACAGTCCGAAGGGGAGCAGCAGCTTGGAGCGCCCCGATTTGTTGCGTGAAAGCGCTTCAGTGCTCAGCAAGCATTCAAAGATGTCCTGGCCCAAGGCGGACAGTAGGCGGTCCCCAACCTGAATCAAAGTTAGCAACCCGTCATTGCCTTCAAGACACAGCTACTTACCTCGAGCACATTGTAAATGACGTAGAGCTTGATGGCGTCTTGACCTCGAATCACGTGGTACATTCGGCTCGCATCCAGGTTCATCAGGAAAGCCGAGCTAAAAAGAATGATGGCACCTTGCAGGATATCGGCCTTGTGCATGGATGTCAGACTCGACGGCATCGACTTCGTCCTGCGATGCCGGAGACTGCCATGCGATCCGTGGTGCTGGTGGCTATGGGTACGACCAAGGGGATGACCATTGCCATTAGCCTTGGCATCCATGTTCAGACGGATTCTAGAACCAGTGTCGGGCATGTGGTTGTCGGCGGCCGCGACCGTGGCCAGATTATCGTGCGAGCTGGCAGCCCGCTTCAATCGACTCTGGCTTTGGCTACGACTGAGCGTCCCCGGCACGGCATCGCACTCATCGCATTGTACGTGAACAGACGGCCGGCGTCCTCGGGACCACAGTCGACCAAGTCCACTCCAAACATAACTTGCTATCCATCTGGCTTCCCTGGCCACTACGTAGACCCACCATCGGATCAAGACGCCAACGGCGACGCAAAATCGGATAGGCAAGATTGTAAAGTTGTAAAGCCAGGCGTCCAAACAGGCTAGCGTTCCGAACGAGAGCGTTCTCTCGAGGTAAAACGGAATCAGTAGAACGTTTTTGAGGCGCTCAATCTTGACGGCATTAGACTCGTAGGGAATATCATTCGTATGCGAGTGGTGAATGTACAAGGGGCTCGGGCGTTGCGTTGACAGCTCGAGTTGAAGGTGGGTCGGGATGGACATGGGAGGCAGGGGAATGGAAGGCGGCATTGGTGATGGCATGGCCGGCTCTACCGCCTGCGGTCTTAGATACGTCTGAGGTGTCGTCTTGGGTGTTGAGAAGACGGCGGTGCCATTTGGATTAAGGTTCAGCGGCGGAGGGCGGAGAGAGGGGTTCAGCGAGTTGCGTCGTGGAGGTGAAGTCCGTGACTGGTCATGTTTTCGGTTTCCAGGCGGCGTGGATAAGGTTCTTCCTGTGGTCGGTCGTCTCCATTGTTCGTAGGCACGCGATGTTCGCCCGCTATCAGCAGTCAAGGGACCTGTCCTCGCGCTGTCGGGCAACTGATGGGCCGACTGGCGAAGGCTCTTGATCTGCTCGGCCAGGGAGATGCGCGGGGACCGGCCATGGTCTGCTCCATCGTCCGACACAACGGCGACAGGCAGGGACTCGGGTTCGGTCAGCTGCTGCATGCCTGCTGCAGAAAGACGCCTGACCTGTTCGTGGCCTTGCGGTCTCTTGGAGCCAGACGTGTTTCGAGGCCGGTTGCCGAACCCGTCGGCTTTTGGCTCAACTGCCGACACAGGCTCAGACACTGTATGCGACTTTCTGGGCCTTGTAACCTCGAGCGCTCCGCCAGAGGAGATGGAGTCGGAGGAGGTGTCTTCGTCCGAATTCCCAGCATGAATGGTCGGCAGGGCTGAGGCTGTCGGGACAGGTGGTGCAGAGGCAGGAACCGTGGGCGGTGAAGGGAAGGGGACCACGGTCGTGGCGATCGTCCTGTCGGAAGAGTGAATGGTGGCCTCCGCATCGGCAGGAACGTCGACAAGTTCCGGTGGCGGCGTAGGCATCTTGGAAGCCGAGTCGACAGCATCCCGGGCTGCTACGGCAAGTTCGACCTTGCGGTCATGGTGGTGAGCACCATTGGCGGCACCATTGGTGGTAGGGGAATGCGTCCCGCGGCCATTCAACCCCGATCTTTCGCTACTAGCCATCGGCGTCCACTGTAGTCGCCATTCGGGGGGGAGGGGGACTGCGACAAAGTCTGGCGAGAGACGAATGAGGCTGGCTGTTGCTGTCGAAGAAGGAGCCAATGAAGTTGTGGTTGAGGTGCAAAAAGCAGCGCGGTTCGCAGTTCGCAGCAAGCACTCTTGCGGAGATGTGATAGCCTTGCGTTGGGCGATGCAGTGTGTCTGTGTACCTGTACTTAGTGAGTAGCCCAGGCCAGGCCACCCAGAGGCTCGTGGCTGTCGGTGCACGTAGGTACACAAAACCGCCACAGGCAAGGTAGAGGCTGGCCCCACATGGATTGACAGCATCAGAACCAATGCCGCGCGCATGTCCCACCTGCGTCGAGGGTAGTGGGGTGGGAGACGGAAGCTGTCTTGGCTGTGCAGTGCTTCCACTAATGGGTACCTAGGTACTTTAGGTACCTTACCTTACCTACCTACAGACCTACCATATCCAGGTCGGTACCTGCGCTCCAGTACCTGGGCCAAGTGATCGCATCGCCAATCTCTAGCGCCCTCCTCACGACCACCCACATCCACCTCCAACCCTAAGACCCCGAATGGCCGAGGTGCCAGCATTCGAGGGCGGGGTTCAATGCGATGGCGTACCAAATTTGCATCCGAACCATGGCACGCCTGCGCGGAATTTGGTTGACGTGACCCCGCGCCTTGACAAAGCCAGATCCCCTCAGCGCGTGGCAGCTAGCTCGGCCGGCTTGGTTCTTAACTCCAGCTTGTCGTTATCACCGACACAGATCGCGACTTGTGCCCGGGAACGGCGCCCAAGAACTGTGGGTTTGTGGATTACACTTGCGGGGGCTACCACGTTCGCAGACACCGAATTCCCCTCGATATGACGCGATGGCGGCCAGGTCGGCACGGCTAGTGACACTGGAACACAGGACCCTGACCCAGTTGTATCCGTACCTCGCCCAGGGAACCGGGGAAATATTTATTAAGAGGGCGTCGACAAGTCCGCCGCCTGGTGTAGGCCTTTTTTGTCACCCCATCTCTTGCGCTTCTTCATTGCTCGCCTTGACGACGGCCACTCAAACAACAGTACCACCACAGACACACGCTCACAATGGCTTCCTATCCCCCTGGACAGTGCTGCGCCGCCACCGGCTTCAAGCACGAGTGAGTAGCCTGTCCCCGCCCTCCTCGCCCTTCTCACCCAAGGCCGCAACATACTAACCTGGCCGGAATCCAGGGGCACACCTACTGGCGAAGACATCAAGATCGACGCCGGAAAGATCGCAGCCTATGTGGCCAAGCCCGCCGCTGACAAGAACAAAGCTGGCGCTGGCATCATCTTGATCCCCGACATCTTTGCCATCTCCAACAACAGCAAGCTCCTCGCAGACCAGTTCGCAGGCGCCGGCTACACGACCTTGATTCCCGACATCTTCAACGGCGACGAGGTCTTTGATTGGGGCAAGTATGATGTCATGAAGTACATTACCGAGGGCGCCCACGGCAACAACCCGCACACGCCCGAGTATGTAGACGCCATCGTCGTCGCCGGCATCAAGGCCCTGAAGGAAGACTTTGCCATCACCAAGGTTGGCGGCGTGGGATACTGCTTCGGCGGCAAGGTATGTCAACATTGCGACCCAATTCAGGACGAGGCTGACCATATAGTACGTCGTTCGTCACTACAAGAGCGGCATCAACGTCGGCTACACGGCCCACCCCAGCTTCATCGAGGAGACGGAGCTCGCTGCCATCACTGGGCCTTTCGCCATCTCTGCTGCTGAGACGGACACCATCTTTCCTGCCGAAAAGCGCCACCAGAGTGAGGTGATTCTGAAGGAGACTGGTCAGCCCTACCAAATCAACCTCTTCTCCGGCGTTGAGCATGGGTTTGCCACCCGCGGCGACATGAGCATCAAGCACCTGCGGTTTGCCAAAGAGCAGGCCTTCCAGCAGGCCGCCGCCTGGTTCGACTACTTCCTCTTGTGAACTGGAGAGAACACGGCGCAACATGTGACGACGAAGGCGGAAATTGCGACATGTAGGCACCCGTCAAGGATATGAAATTTTATACCCCCGTTATCCTGCGCAGCAAATTCTACAGTGACTTGGTGATTTCGGTGGTGGGCATGTCTACATGGCCCTAGGACCACGCGCTCTTAACAAAGTCAGCACACCTCTCAGCCACCATGTACGTAGCGGCCACGGTGTGTGCACTCGGCAGCCTCGGGAAGACGCTCGCATCGGCGACGCGCAGATTTCGAAAACCGTGCACCTTGAGGTCCTGCCCGACAACACCACCTTCCTCCTCCTTTGCCATACGGCACGTCGATGTCACATGAAGTGTGCTTCTGATTCTTTCCTTGACGAACTTGTCAATCTCAGCATCGGTTGCGTCGCGCCAGCTGCCCTGCGTGGTGCCCGCTCGGACACCAGGCGCGCGGTGCCACACTGTTTCGAAGGGATATCCCGTGGTGCGGAAGCGCTCGATGAAGTGCATTGCGAAACGGGTCGCCTTGCGGGCCACGACCCAGTCGCGGTCGTCAGTGACAAAAGGGTGATACATCTTGGGGTAGGTGAGCGGGTCATCCGACGCAAGCTCGATGCGACCGCTTGAGAAAGGCTGCAAGAGGGTGGCGTAGAGGCTGTAGTAGCCCTTCTGCTTGACGTACTCGTCATCCATCGAGTGGCCGCAGAGGATGTACTCAATGTCCGGTATGTTCTCCTGCCGATGTGCGTCCAGCGTGCTGTTCTTTTGATTGTCGGAGTGCTTGACTTCCATCGTCTCGTCCTCAATGGCCCCCGAACGAATGAATAAACAGTGCTGCATCGTCATAGAGGCGAAGTAGCCTGTCTTGAAAATGACAAGCACGAGGAAGGACCAAATGGCGACAAGTGGCCTCAAGAGATAGATCCACGAGTCTGAGGGCAAGACCTCGAAAGCGATACCGAAGGAAACATGGTCCTTCAGATTTGCGCCGACACCCGGCATGTCGCGAATGACGGGAATATTATGCTTCTCGAGCTGGGGCTTGGGTCCGATCCCACTGCTCAAATTAGCACGCTGAAGCACGAGGCGCATCACACACTTTCTGGCAGGGTGCCTACCTCAGCATGAGCACTTGTGGCGAGAAGAGCGCACCACAGCACACAATGACCTCGCGCCTCGCCTTGACAAAGGATTGCCGGGGGCGTCTCCTTGACTCGCCATCGACGAAGTAGACGCCAGTCACCTCACTTCCGTCCTGATTCACCTCTAGTCTGGTGGCCACAGCACCGCCGCATATTGTTAGGTGGCCTTGCCTTTGAATGACCATCGGTTTTGGGAGGTAGGCCAGCTGCGAAGAGACTCGGCGTGCTTGCTCGTCAATCATGAGATCCACGTCGAACAATCCAATGGCTGGTCCACTAGGATCGTTCAAATCACCACCTACTGGTATCCCAAGATCGTTGGCCGTCTTGGTTAAGCTATAATCGTCAGCAATTTAGTTGTCGTTTTCGCTGCATCAACGTACTAGTCCTCAACAGTGAACAGTGATTTTTGATGTTTAAGCAACAGTGGTCCTGGTCAAGTGGTCAGCACAGGCCCCCTTTGAATGTTGTCAGTTTGTGCTAGACCAAACTACCATGTTGACCGCGACCTGGTGCACCAGGATGGTTCAGAGACGCATTCTCCATCTTGCGGAAGTATGGCTCGCACTCCTTGAAGGACCACTTGTCGTTGCCACATGCTGCCCAGGAGTCATACTGGCCCGGTGTGCCCCTGGTGAGCATAAGCCCATTGATACGCGAGGCGCCACCGAGGGCACGTGACGTGTAAGTGTGAACCTGCGCGCCGTCCCAACGTTCATCGGGCTCCGAATACAGTACGCTGACCTGGGGACCGTCCTTTTGCGGTCCTTGGCTCAGCAGCGGTGAGCTCGACAGCCAGTTGTCCTTGATCTTTCCGCGAGAGAGGACGAGAACAGTAACGGATGGGTCTTCACTGAGGCGAGCCGCAAGGGCGCAAGCAGCGGTTCCACCTGCAAAAGGACATCAGTAACATGCCCAGACCAGAAGCGCAAGCAATGGGAAATGGCATACCGCCGACGATAATATAGTCGAATGTCTTGCCATCAACATCTGCCACAGTCTTCTCAGGATACCTGGGCGAAAAAGGCCACACCATCTTGCTGCCGTCAAGTATATACTGATACAATTGGAATGCACATGCAAGCGTAGAACGGAGTTGATTTGAGGGAGGGTGACTGACATTTATGTTCTCTGGTTCCATCCATGTAAGAGAGGCCGGTCTATCCGAAAGTTAGAATCTTATGATACCTTGTACGGTGTTCCTAATGGCATCAACAGCCAATCACACCAATCAATGAGCGGAATCAAAACCTGCAACCGTGCCTTGCAACATCATCAAGGTCCTTGATATCACTAAATTTGACAAGTGAGTGACCGTCAGGGGGTTGCTTGAAGAATCCAGCCGATACAAGTGGCCAAGCACGTACCGGGCGGGAGGCTCAGCAAACGACGGGAGGGCCGTTGGCGGGAAGCAAGCCCCCGTGCGCCGCGGTTTCCCCGTCCCGTCCATCCTCTTCACCCGATCCTTGCTGGGTCCAGATCCTTCCGACTAGGATGCAACGGGACAAATTTGCGTCTCCCACCACCCCAAGTGCAGTTAGGCTGTCGACTGTTGCCAAGCTCCATCCCCCAGACATCATGTACTTTTTCCACATTCACATTGTCAATGCCAAGCAACACGCCTTATGCCTGAGATGACGACGACAAGAAGATGGTCATGTCGCTTACCTAGATCGCGCGGCATGACCTACCCTAGGATGCCCAGATTGACAGTCACGAGCGGCTGAAGTATGCCTAAGCACCATCCAGAACCAGCCCTACTCGACAGGCGGACCTCAACCCAATGGCGGATCCATGCACGACCAGGGGACCGGCCCCCCCTCCCCTCAGATGGAGCGGCTGTGCTAGCTGGCCACGCTGGTTGTGCTGTGCTGCAGCTCGAATCCCAACCACCCGTCCACGCACGCTCTGAGCCGCCCCTGGATGCTCCAGCCGCAGCCTTGTTGCCCTCGAGCCGTTTGGGCCCCAGAGCGACTGGCCGCGTGGGCAACAAGTACTCCTTCGGAGCCCGCTGCCACCATCGCAGATAGCTCTCCGACCTTTTGTGATTTCGTCACACGACATTCCGGACCAGAGGCGGACAACTGACTGCCTCTGACGACCACCAAGTACGCTTCCGAGATATATATACTCGCTCGCCTACAATCCTGTGTACCTCGAGCCTCGAATCCAGGCACCGCCGTTTCTTCCCCCGACCTTGAAGCCCGACGACCTTACACGAAAGCCGGCCTCAACCCCCACAACCTGACTTCTTGTACCGCCTGGCTACAGAATCAACACGATGGGAGATAGCAACAGTGAGCTGTACGTGGCGATTGCTGCTCTGCTCATATCTCTTGTTGCCCTTGCTGCTTCGGTCCTACAAGTCGCCCAGCAGTACTTCGCCTCTGCCACCGGCTACGCCAGCTGCGACGAGAAGGTCATAGGCAAATGGTCAAGCTCTACAATACGAATCTTAAAGCCATACGAGTTTCGCTTCGAGGTCCAATATCAGGCTCCGGTCATCTTCCTCTGTCGCCTCGACAACAAGAACGGCCCCGTGCCGGACGTTAAAATTATTCCTCTCGTGGGAAGCGACGAAAGCCGTCGAGAGAGTTGCAGTGACATTCAGGAGGACGGTCGCAACACACAAAAGTCCAGCCAAGTACAGAAGGAAAAATCCACCCGAGTAAAGCAGAAAGAAGCCATACACACCGCAGACAATGAATTGGCTTCCTGGGTTACCTTGCTGGCAGCCTTCCAGCGAATGGAGCATGATTCGAGAGACTGGCAACAGAAGCTCCTCGAGAAGCCACTCCGTCCTCCAACAGGCGAACCGCACAATGCACTGTTGAAGCCCGAAGAGGTCGAGGAAGTGGAAAAGAAACACACGTTGGTCGTTGCCTTGCAGAAGAAGACAAAGAGCTGGGATACGATGCCGGCAGGCGTCAAGAAGCCGTATGCAACGACAACTTGGTGTCATATGGTGGAGATGGCTGCTCTGCTCGGGATATACTGGAGCGAATTTGACCGATCGCATGACCGCTACCGAGCTGAAGGCAACGGTTACATGTTGACGGGGGAGAAAATGACCGACCTTGGTATCATGTTCACCTTTCAAGTCTACGGGAAGAGCGAATTCAAAGCCAACCGCATCATCCCGGTTGAGGAGGTGAAGGACCTGTGCTTCGGGGTCGTGCCAACGATATTTCGACGACCCGAGGCGGTTGACATGCGACGTCTCACAGATGACCGCCAGGATCTCAGCATGCTCAACTTGTCCAACCGGATTGAGATTTCAGAGACACTGGGCCTTATTGGTTGCAATACCAACACGGTCAACTACTTTGCTCGTGAGGACACGCAGAACAAGCGTGTTGCTCACCTCTTTCCAAGTAAGCAGTTCTCCACCACCGTGTTGACGACAAGGGGCCCTAACCTCATCGCAGTCGCTTTTGAAATCATCGGCATGCTAGGCCGGACTCTTCACATCGATCACAGTGTCTTCCGATGCCTCCCGAACCCTACAATGTATTTTTGGAACACGAAGACATTCTCGCTGCCAAAGCTGCTTGATGCTTACCTCAAAGAATCCAACAAGCACGGCGTTCTGAGTAACCAGGACTCGAGGGTTATGCAGGCTATCCGGCGGCACGGCAGAAGAGTGCAACTGCAAATGAGAAATGCTGGCTCCAACGGGCGATCGAGCTTTATGTTGCTCGACACTCTCCATCACGCCCTCGACGCCATGGATGAAGTGTTGACTGGCAAGGCCAAAGAAAAACGACCCCCGCTGCCGCGACAGGGCACCACGTACTCCAACCAGAACCCAGCGCTGTCTGTCAAGAAGAAGCCAGACGAGCAGAGGCCAACCGACGCTACAGAAGACCAGAATGAGACGACGCGCCGGCAAAAGGTGACGGACGTGCTGCGCAGCCACATTCAAGAAGTTATGTATGGTCTCAACGAAAAGGTCAACGAAAAGGATGCCGAGGCGCAAAGCCCCATCCAGTTCGACGGCAACACAGCACGATTTGAGGATATTGATTCCGCAGCCCCCGAGGACAAACAAGCCAAGCTTATGGAGGTTTATTTCCAAGCGATCCGCAACAAGGTCATCGGCACGGCTTTGCGTTCGACGAAACGGCGCGAATCCCTAACCCCGATGCTGCCACTGGCCACGCCAAGCAGCCAGAAGCGGACCGCGGGTCAAACGATTGTGGAAACCTCCGAAGACGGCGACGAAGAAGACGCAGAGGACGAGGATGAAGACGATGATGTGGCAGAGGAGGATGAGCTCTGGAAGCTGCCCACAGACGACGTCTCACACGAAGATATTTGGTGCACGCTTGTGTTCCGGATGATCTGCTGGCTGATGCTTCATGACTTCAACAAGAACGACCGACAAATCTCGAAGAGCGAGCTACGGGGAAGCCGACTGCCCATCTACATTGCGTGAGGCTTTGGTGTAGGACGCTATGAACGAGGGGGATGGCTGGCAGGAAAGAAGGTTTATGAATGATGACATGCAGGGGAGCATTTGCTAGACTATCTTGACCAAGTACAGAATGAACACTTGTTTCCGGGCATATTCTCGGAGCGTCACATCTACACATAGGTACAATGACCTCTCGCGGCCGGCCCGATGCCTTTGACGGTCCCAACAAAGGTCTTTGCTACCGCCCAAGCCGCCTAAGGTACTGGTATCGGTCCCGGCTTGGGGATCACACAGACCAGCGTCGGGCTTGCCGTATTTGTGGCGGGTACTGTGGCTGAGCAGAGACTGCTCAGGAGGTACACAGCAAGCACAGGTACCTCACCCGAGGTTCTTGACGGCGGCGCTCAGTAGTGAGAAGCGCCTCGCCGTGGACGGACAATTGACTGGATGTTCTACGAAGCGCGGAGGGTTCAGCGAGGGACCCGGGTCGCACCAGACAAACACTTTCTCGGACGTTCCAGCACGAGGCGGCGACGACGACGGTGCAACCAGACCACCAAGTGTCGGCGAGTCTCCAGAGGCGTATCCGAAAGTGCCGGAGGGCGAGTCCCGGTCCGAGTCTCTTTCAGGGGCGCTGCTTACCGCCGGATGCCTCAGAAGCACTACACGGCACGAGAGGCAACAGGTGAACACCAACAAGTCTGGTTAGGGTTTGGGCATGTGGGCAGGATACGCAGCCAGGCATTTCGTTACCAGGCGAGGCAGGCACGTAGGGCTCGGAGCGTACGGCTGAGGTTGTCATCTTGATGTAAGCGAAATCCAGGAGGCAGAGGAATGTGAGTGACGCGCAGCTGCCTCACCCTGAGGCAGAGACGCCAGTGGATTCATCAGCATATTGCCCCCCCAAGCTGCCTGGAAGGCACTGGCACGACGCTGCCGATGCCGAACCGCCCCCTGATGTGACCTTAAAGCCCTCGAGTCGAGACGCCGGTGGGAATCAAGGAACGCAGGTAGCCTCATGCGCTGGTCTGTGCGGGGTCAGCCACTGTTAGCGAGAAAGTACCACAGGCGGGAGGATCGTGGGGAGAGTGACATTGGCCCCTAAGGCCACGAGCCTGACTCGTCTGAGAAGAGCCCCTCGGCTGCCAAAGAAAGGAAAAAAAAAAAAACTCGCCTCCAAGGCAGGCAGGCCTTGGGAGGGAGGCGAGCAGGGCAGGAGAGACTAGGAGAAGAAGGGGTGAGTGAGGGGGGCCAAGGGGCGCAGAACGACAGTGCGTGCACAGTGTCGAGCTGGGGGCAAAGGGCTCAAGGCAGGCGGAGAAGCCTAGCCTCCTTGCCTCCTTGTCTGCCTGTCTCCTGGGAGGCCCCTAGCTTCCTCGCCTCCGGCGCCTGGCTGTCCCCGACCGCTCGCTGTCTCACTGCGTATCGCTCTTGCCGCTTGCTTCAGGCGCACTTGGCACTGGTCACTGGTCACTGACCACTCACAATCGACTGACTGACGAGAAAAGAGGGTCCGTTTTTTTGGATGCAGGTGCAGTGCACGAGGCATGGCAAGGGCCGGGCTGTAGGGACGGGCAAGTGCACTGGCGGATGGATCCTGGTTTCTCAAGGCAGAAAGCACAGTAGAACCACCGCCAGCCAGAGAGACACATTCCTCCTCCTTGACCTGCTACTCCTCCTCCCACCATCACCGTTCGCCGGCTACCTCGAACCCCGTAAGCAGCCGGACTCTACACACATTCTCCTCCACCACTCCTCCTCCTCCATACAACTGCCGACGCTGTTCGACCCCTCTCGAAACCTCTCCCGACTTGGTCGCTCGACCACTGCGACCCGACCTGCCTTGCATCCTCCCGGACGGGGATTTCTACTGGAGGGAACAAGGGACAAGTCACAGCACAACAAGGAGGCCGAAACCCCCCCCGCCCTTTTACTCCGCCGCACACTTGACCATGATCTGGCCTTGACAACAACGCATCTCTTCTCGAACTCGATCTTTACGAAGCATCACGTTTCCATCCAAGTCTTGCAGCCTTCGTTTGTCACTTGAACACGCCTGGGCCCAGCCTCCATCACTATCACTACTTGTCATCCCTGACGAATTGTCGCTGGAGGCGGAACACCGCTTGGATCAAACCCAGCCCTTCTCAACCGCCACCAGTTTCTTCTCCCACGCGTTGTCGACTTTCCCCGATACCGCCCACAAACTATTCAGCCTTGATCCATACCACAATTTTTTCCTTACCAACCTTACTAGGACGCGGGTCTCTTCGACCCTGCTGCCGTCATGACACCGTCGCCAGGTCCCCCGCACGCACCCGCCGAAGCCAGGCGACCGGCCTCCAGCCAGACCGTCTCCGTCACCTTTGACGAGGACAACAAGGCCGTCATGGGCCCTGACACATCCCACCTGCACTTTGAAGTCTCCGAATGCATTGAGACCAAGACTGTCACGACGACCACGACAACTAAGAGAACGTACCCGCCTGTCCATGTCCGCGATGCCCGACCCCTCGGTCAACTGGATGGCAAGGAGTACCCACTTGCCAACAAGCCGCTACCGCCTGAGCTGGCCAGTTTCTCCTACAACATCCCTCACACTACCCAGCAAGGTGTCGACCAGACCGTCTCCCGAATGCTTCCCAAGAAGGTATTTGACAAACTTTTCTAAATCCCCAACCCCCGTTTCTCGTCGCGTCCTCGACATGGTTTGCTAACATTACCTTGTAGCGCACAGGTAAATCCCTGCCAGTGAGACACTCGGCAGGCCTTCTCAAGGACGACGAGTCAACGCAAGAATCCGCTCGCGCCATTCCCAAATCTCCCACAGAGGCCTATTCCCGACGATCACGACAGCTGAGCGCCCGACAAGAATCCCCCGATTTGAGTTCGACCCCTTCTCTTGGAAAACAATCGAAGGAACTGAAAGAAGCTGGCCTGCCTCACCCCGACTCGGTGTCGAACAGGCTCCGCCGTCACCTCGCTCGCAACACCCAGCGTGAGAGGCCAGCCGGCTTCCTTGCCACTCCGGACACGTCTGAGATCGCCGGCAGCAGCACCGAAAATCTCACGCGTCCCAGGTCTCGACATCTCACCCGGAGCAGCCGCACCCCCGAGGCTACCAGCGTACCGAGCGCCCACCAGATGCAAGAGGCTCCGAGCCCTGCCGACAGCCCGGCCCACACCGTCTTCAGCAGCAATGTGGCAACCCCACCCATCACCGATGCCGACGACGAGCCCTTTGGTGACGCCGACGAGTCGCTGCAGCAGTCCATTCGAGCCCTGAGCGCTCGTCCCTCTTTCGACACGGTGGCTGCCCAGGATGCGAGTCTGCCTAGTCCCAGGCTGTCCCCCACACTGGCTGCTGCCCAACTTCACACGGCGGACTCGGAAGATGTCGATGACGAAGGCCGACTTATTACCACTGGTGATCGGCCCTGGTATCACGAGTCGCAGACGGCAGATGAGCTCGATGACTACTCTGTCGTATCGACCGGTGATGGGTCGCGAACACCATCTGGCATGGCCGATCCTCAACATACCATGTTCGACGTGCGATCCATGATGGAGACATTCGACTCCATGCCCAACGAGATGAAGAGCTTCATCATGTACCAGTTTTTGCGTCGTTGTCCACGCAAGACCCTTCGACTGGTAGCTGACGCTGTTACCCCTGCTCTCAAATGCGACTTCCTCAAACAACTTCCTCTCGAGCTCAGCTTCAACGTTCTGTCATATCTTGACCACCAGGATCTCTGCCGAGCGGCCCAAGTTTCCAAGAACTGGCGCAACATAATTGATACCAACGAAACTGGATGGAAGGAGTTGTTTGATCGCGACGGCTTTACCCTGCCGAAGGGCGAGCTCGACAAGGCCATAGCACAGGGCTGGGGCTGGCAGGATCCGGTCGGCGCCATGGGCGCCGAGGTTGACCTCAGCAGAATCAATCTCATGAGCTCACAGGAGACCGAGGTCGCGAAGACCCTTGCGAAGCCCGATCCGACCGCAAAGCTCAGAAGCGCAAAGAGGAAGCGGGGTCTTAACATTGGCGGCGCCGACCGGTCCAAGCGGAGGGCGAGCGCGCAAGAAACGGCCCGCGTTGAAGCTGCACATGGTGTGGCCAGGCAGCACAAGTCGGCAGGTCCTCTTTCGGCTGCTAATGCCGCTGCAGCGGCCGTGCCGAATCCCAAGATGGGGCTTCCCAGCCTCCAGAAGCTACATCTCTACAAGTCCCTGTACCGCCGCCACCACATGATCCGTCAAAGCTGGACGAGCGGCAAAGTCAAGCCTGGCCATGTCGCTTTCGCTGCTCATCCACGTCATGTCATTACTTGTCTGCAGTTTGACGAAGACAAGATTATCACGGGCAGTGACGACACGCTTATTCATGTCTACGACACGAAGACGGGCAAACTGCGCAAGAAGCTTGAGGGCCACGAAGGCGGCGTTTGGGCGCTTCAGTACGAAGGCAACGTCCTCGTTTCCGGTTCAACGGATCGATCGGTTCGCGTTTGGGATATTGAGAAGGGGTTCTGCACTCAAGTGTTTTATGGACACACGAGCACAGTCCGCTGTCTCCAGATTCTGATGCCCACCGAGATTGGCAAATCGCACGACGGATCGCCCATCATGATGCCACCGAAGCCGCTCATAATCACCGGATCCCGTGACAGTCAGCTCCGCGTCTGGCGGTTGCCCGAGCCAGGCTCTCGTCGTTATATTCAGACGGGCCCCCCTGCCAACGACGCAGACTGTCCGTACTTTATCCGCACACTTACCGGCCACACGCACTCGGTTCGCGCCATCTCAGCACAAGGTGACACACTCGTCAGCGGTAGCTACGACAGCACAGTCCGTGTCTGGCGAATCAGCACGGGCGAGTCACTTCACGTACTCCACGGTCACTCGCAGAAAGTGTACAGTGTTGTGCTGGACCACGAGCGCAACCGATGCATCTCGGGATCAATGGACTCGCTGGTCAAGATCTGGGACCTCAACACGGGCGCTTGCCTGTACACACTCGAAGGACACAGCTTGCTTGTCGGTCTGCTGGATCTCCGTGACCAGAGGCTCGTATCAGCTGCAGCCGACAGCACGTTGCGCATTTGGGACCCGGAGAATGGCAAATGTCGGAACGTCTTGACGGCTCACACTGGCGCCATTACCTGCTTCCAACATGACGGCCGAAAGGTCATTTCAGGCAGCGAGAAAACCGTCAAGATGTGGGATATCCGAACAGGCGAGCATGTCCAGAACCTCCTGACGGACCTCAGTGGTGTTTGGCAGGTCAAGTTCGATGAGCGACGCTGCGTGGCAGCTGTTCAGAGGGGCAACTTGACGTATATTGAGGTAAGGATTCTGCGAGCCAGGAAACGATTGTCCTGCTAACTGTGATGTTCTAGATTCTTGACTTTGGAGCTGTTCGAGACGGCCAGCCGCCCGAGGAGCTGGGCGAGCGCAAATTGCTCAACGAGGCTGAGCACAGCACACTGATGGCCGCTGAAGACTTGTAGTAACGCGGACGGAACATGGACCAGCATTCACACGGAACGGCGAATGGGGCGCGGGATATGACGATTTGATTCTTACTGCATCACACCATACCCATTACGGCACGACAGCATGATCAGAAGGACGATCACGGAGGTACTGCCGAGGACTTGCTACTGGAATTAGTTTGGCGTTTGGTTTGGGCGGCTTCAGAACGCCGCGGGGTGTCGGAGAGAATGGAATGCACATACGCGTCGCTTATTGCATACTTGTAAGCTTAATCAGGCCATCGGAACTCGGACCTGGGCATCGGCTCTCAGCTCTCGGCTTACCTGTATGTCTTGAGTCTGTTAGCCGGCTGTCCGAGCAGCACGACGTATACATACAACATGGCATCGTGATTCTATCGACGACGTTCTCGATGCGTGACCGTGAGCGTGCAAGCACATCTGCTAATTTGTGACGGCCGAAAAGGCAGCCATCTGTTGCTACGTGATTATTCGTCACGGCATCTACCTGCAAAGATAGAAGCCAAGGCACCGAGTGACTTGAACATGTCGGGCACTGGCCATAACACATGCCCGTGCTGGCGCTTTGGAATATCGCTCGCAGCAGGCTTTTCGACGCCGTTGATACTGAGGCCTCGCCATGAAGGCTAGTGTTGAGATGACTTTACCATGTCAACGATACCTGCAGCCCCTATTGTATGTTTGAAGTGTTTCTGTCTAGCAAGCTTTCAGTACAGCTCGATGGCCATCCACTACACTTGAGCGTTTGAGTCTGCTCACAGAGTGGGAGCATCTCCGAGCTGGCAACGGAGACAGTCCTGACAAGCCTCTTGGTACACAACGCTGGAGATCTGGCGTCATGGCAAGAGTGCATTGGCATTCCTTCCTTGCGTGTATAAAGTAGTAGTGTCTTCACCAGAGTCGTGTGAATTGCTGGTCCCTGACGAGCCAATTCCACGTCTCTTCCTATGATCATAGGTATCACCCACTGTTTCGTCGCGGGTCTGCTTCAACTGCCCGAGATTGGGCACAATCTTGTTGTATTTGATATCGTATATCGTCCATTTCTTGTCTAGGACGCCTAGCTGCTTTGACCGACGGGGCACCTAATGATTCGCTCGGTGGGGTCGAGGACAAACGGCGGTCAAAGCAGGCAACGACGTTCATCTGAAAGAAAAAGTATGTACAGTGTTACATGGCAAAGCAGAGCCTAGGTGCCTACCTAGGTAAACAGAAAGACAAACAACGCTAGTTCCGCACATACGACTCAGGCTCCAGCTTGTCGACGACGCACTGCTGGCCCACGACGGGATTGCACCGCGCGGCGCGGCCGCCCTCGAGCCTGACGGCGTAGTCGACCCCCGAAGGGCTGGACATGCCGTACTGCTGAAAGTCGGTGCTCACGACCTGGGCGCCGCTCGCAAGGGCGGCGTCGCGCATGCCCGTCGTGTCGTTGCTGAAGAGGGTCTCGAGGGGCACGTCGGCGCGCGTGCGGACCCAGTAGTTGAGCTGGACGGCGCGCTGGATGGCGGCCGTGTTGGCGGCGCCCGCGGGGTCGTTGAGCTTGCGGAAGGCGCAGTCGGCGTCGCCCTCGGCGGCGTTGGTGAAGAGGACGCGGCCTTCGAGGTTGGGGTGGCCGGCCGTGTAGGCGGTGCGGATGGGCGACACGGGCCCGTTGTCCATGAGGAAGAAGACGCGGCCGCGGGCCGAGTCGAGGTCGGGCCAGCCGCGCTGCAGCACGGCGTCCTCGAGCGTCAGGTTGGCGCCGACGCCGCGGCGCAGGTCGTCGGGCACGATGAGGCGGTCGGCGGGGAAGATGGCGCGGATCTCGGCGTCGAGGCCCGCGAGCAGCTTCTCGTCGTTCCAGGGGATGGCCTTGGCGCCGCCGAGCAGCACGAGCCCCGGGTCAGACTCGTTGAACTCGATCAGGATGGGCAGGGGAATGTGAGCGCGGTGGGCGTCGCTCCAGCCCTTGACGAGCTCGAGGCAGTGCTTCAGCGTGACACACGTCGTGTGGACGTCGCCGTCGGCTATGTGAAGCACCTTGGTGCCGCGCTCGTGCCAGCGGGGGTCTTTGTCGTAGGGAAGCTTGGCCAGCTTGCGGATCAGCGGCTTGGCGTAGTGCCCGCCCTTAGGGTCGGCGTATACGTCGAGCTCGAGGCTGCGGATCGACTGATAGTTGAGCTGAATGTCGAGCGCCGCTTGCGAGTATTTCAAGTCCCGCGAGGAGCCTGGAATGAACTGCTCGATAGTCACCAGCTCCTCGGGCGACGGCTGCAGGTGGTAGCTGTTGTGAGAGCCGATACACTGGATCTGGTTCATGCGCGTGGCTGACGACCAGGTGAGGCCGCCTTGGCGCATCGCGTGGCAAGCGGCCGCCGCCATGGGCACGAGGACTGCACGCCTTCGTCAGTATGGCTGGTCTACATCTTCCACACAAAAGGGCTCTAGGAGACTCACCGAGGGCGATGAGACGCATGTTGGCTATGATCCAGTGCGAGAGAGCTGCATCGACGGAAGAAATAATAACAACTGCAGAGACATGTCCACCCGTCCTTTATGTGGACATTCACGCGACGTTCGACCAATGGACTCTCATTTCCGGGGCACGATGTATAGTTTAACAACGTGGTGCGAATGTAACGGCATTGAACTCAACCCATTCGCATTCGCATTCGCATTTGCCTCTCCTCGGGGCCTCGGTGTTCGAGATTAAGACATTGACCCATGACGGTTGGACGGGTGTCCATGTGGTCTCGCATCAACTGCTGATCAAATCAACCACATGGCTGAAGGCAAAAGATGTCGTAGCCCTCGATAGCTGCGGTCCCTTGCCTGTGGGTCTTGAGAGGATGATCTTGAAGTTAACGTTCGTTGCTGAGAAATGAATGAATTAAAACTTAAGCCTTATCTTTTCCTTTATTTTTTACAGTTTAATCCCCTGTAGGGATAGAATGCCTTGAAAAGCTCAAACATGAGCGAGTTAGAGCCCTCTGCTTAGAAATCTATCTACCCGACAGCACCAGTACAGACCATGTATTCTACTGAATATATTCGGTTTAGGGGTAGTTCTATGTCACGACTTGGCAGCTTTTAAAAGGGGAACATCATTAGAGGGGGTTATGGTTGCTATGAGTAGCAGTCAAGTTGTGACTCTGAGACGACGTGGTGTCCTGAGCGCTGCGCTCTCTCGTTACATTGAACACAAAGTAAGCCTTAGATTGTTTGCTATCTTGTGAAAGGTGTATACGTATCTGCAAGTATAGAGTGCCCGTGCTCATATAATCGTTTATCCTTGCCGGTCGTGTTGGGCAGCGAGCCCATATTGGATGGCTCATTGCTGTTGGTGGTGATCGTGTTATATCAGAGTACGGATCATGGTGATCCCAGCTGCACTGTCCCCAGTGATCCTATCACGTGAGTCGGCGCTTGGCATCCCCATCTGACCGTGCCCCTCGTTGTGTCATCGTCAGGGTCGCCCTTGGGGTTGGTCTTGTTCCTTGGTTGTTGCACCTGGGAGGCCGTACCTAGGGCCTTAGAATCTATATCTAATCGGGTTAAGACCGTTCTATCAGCTCATGGGATATGAAAAAAAAACTAGAGTTAGTAAGAAGTCACAGAACAATAGGTCCCCAGTACACGGGGATTTGCAATTGAAATGTACTGCATTTGATGGTAGCTGACCGTTTGCGCCCGGAGCGAGGACCGGGGTTGACAATAATCGGAGACTTCATGCCCTCGACGTCTGACGAGACGGACGATCACAAGGTCAGGTCGCTATCAAGCGTCACATGGCTCCTGACGTTGGTCAACTCAAGACCACTGACTTCGGTCAACTTGAGACGGACCAAATCCGCGCAAGCCGTACAAAGAACAGATTGACGGAAACACAACTTCATTTCTGCAAATAGAATATGCAAAGCGCCATGCCTTCAGTAGCTGTGCTGTGCACCAGCTCGATAACGCCGACGCCTTTTGTCTTCCCATGTCAAGGACCCGGGACCAATCCTAACCTTGGTGACAAGCATCCGTTCTCCCCAGCCTTCAACCCTTCCCCCTTTCCCCTTCCCGCAGTCCCCCGAAGCGGCCCGTGTTAGACAACAGACTGCCAGAAAGCCACATTCACATCCTTGGGCCTGATGCCCGGTGCTCGCCCAAGACACACGGATCGTTGCACGAGTTCTAGGCAAGTGTTAGCCATTCCATCCGCTTTTGTAAGAGCAGCAAAGAAGCACGTACGTTCCACCAGGATTTCCACGTTTATGCTGACTCGTCTCTTGGGCGGCGTTGCCGTCTTGGTCGAACCCCGCTGCGACAGATCATACAGCGTGGGATCCACGGGTACCGTCCCACCCACGAGGTGCGTCGGCAACGGCGCCGCGAGCAGGGCTGCGATTTCCTCTTCTCCCGTAACGGTAGGGCCTGACCAGGTATCCGAGCTGGTGGCCGGCGTGGGGGCCAGGCTCGACCCAGCGGTACCAGCGTCGCCCGAGAGCCAGGTCGTCGACTTGTCGACAGCAGTCGAGTCCGGAGGGGCCTGGGTCGGGGCGCCGAGCGTCGAATCATCAATGTCGGCCGAGACAAAGTCGGCAGCCGGGGGAATCACGATGCCTCGTTGTTGCAGGTACCACTCGACTTCGTCGCAGTCGAAAAAGTCGCCTTCAAAGCCGGACGACGAGATGCGAAGTCGGTGGTCAACACGCAGGTCTTTCGTCTCCTCGACGGCCGGGCTCCACGGTCCGGGGCCGAAGTTGGAGTCCCTCGCGATTTTGCTGCGATTCGGTTCATCAGTTCCCTCGTTTCCCACCGGTGGCCGCGGCCTTGTCGGGCCCGGCCTGCCGTGCTCCAGGTTTGCGCCCTTCTCTTTCATGTCTGTCTCGAGCGAAACACTGTCTAATTCGTTCAGATCCTGAAAAAAGGTGCCCGCGCCGCCAAGATGGAGAAAGGGGTGACGCCAATTACTGAGCGTTTCGCGTCGGTTCACACTGAGGCAGTTAGCAAGGCGCTCAACGATGCGTTCCCGGCTCTCGAAGAGCAGGCAGAAGCCGAAGACGCCAGCGACTGCCTCCGGCGGCGGTTCAGGCATGGAAAGCAGGCGCACCGCCTGTTCTACCGCCCTGCGCTGCAGCCGCCGACCAAAGGTGCGTTCTTGATAGGAGAGCGACGGCGGAGACGACAGCGCGGGCACGCCGCCGGGGGCCAGCGTCAGATGGCCGGATAAGCCCGGCTTTGGCGTTGGGAGGAGAAGGGTGGTGGAGGCGGCGAGGGTCTCGGCCGGCGGCGAGGAAGACGTACCGAAAGGGAAGCTTGCATTATGCACGGTAGGTTGTGTGACGATTTCGTATGCGGGGGCCGATGATGATGATGCTGCCTTGAGGGTGTTGTGCCTCCAGACGGACACGTCCGATTCCGCCGGCTCGTCGAATGACGCCTCTGGCTCGTGATGCACAATGAGGCCGGCCATGAGGATGGGCTGGCCGGCGCTGCTCGTGTGCTCATGGGCGGCGGCCACGTCGGGCGAGCCGGAGATGTTCCGTCGCTTCTCGGAGCCGCTGCCGGGGCTGCCCGTGTTTCCCTCCTCAGAATCGTGACCAGGCCCCGCCGGCGGCTGCTTGTCTTCGCTTGAGCTGCGCGCGATGGCAAGAAAGGTTTCCGTCGTGGCGCGCAGCTGGCGTCCGAATTCGGGCAGGGACTCGAGGAGCCCGTCTGCCACGGCGTAGTCGTAGAGACGCATGAATGCATTGCTCATCTGTTCGTTGTTCTGTTTCAGTTCCTCGACCTGTTTCTCGAGCGTCTGAATAGCCGTCTCTTTTCGGTTTCGATAGGCCCTCTGGGCGAGTCGGATCTGCGTGCGGCGGCGCTGGGGCACCTGTCAGTAAGCGGCGTCGAGAGGAGAGAGATGGGCGCAGCGTCGTGAGCGCAAAAGTGGCGTCGCTGTGGCGGCAAGGGATGGATTGCCGTCCATTACTCACATCTTGGGCGGTCTGGTCATCCGTGTCGAGCTTGGGTCTGCCTCTCTCTTCTGTCCGGCATATCGGCGTCGTCGAGAGCATCAACCGCGTTGCGCCATGGACCTCTTGGTGCCGTGGCGCGACACACGATGAGATCGCGTGCGGCCTTCGTCGGCGCCGGGCGTGGAAGGCGTTGGTGTCGGTCGAGGGGGCAGGCTGCGAGGGGCTCGGAAGGAGGATGCACTGCCGTCATGATACGACTCGGCATTCAATATGGAGAGCTCGGGATGCATGGAAAGCACCGTCTGCCCGTCGGGCAATTGAATAAAGGGCCAATTCAGCGGGCGCTGCTGGTGGTGCGGGTGGTGATACGGGCGGTGGTGATAAAAGGTCGGGTCGTCGGTGGTGTGTGGATCGTGGTTGGGATCGTAAAAGTCGGACGGCGCTGTGTAATTATGCAGCTGCGGCACAGCGCTGGGCTCGTCGCTTGTCGGGAACCAGGCGATGGTGGTCTGCAGTTCGGAGGCGTGAAGCAGTCGCGGATCATGAGGGTGGCAGAGGGTCGAGCCAGACGAGGAGGGGGGCGACGAGACAAGCCCAGGAGCGGTGGCGGCAGCGGCAGCGGCAGCGGCAGCGGTGGGATCGACGAGGGGCGGGTGAGGGACGAAGTAGACGGGCTGCCGAGGGTGCGGACCAGGCTGCGGCTGCTGGCTGTGATGCAGGGGAGGCTGCGGAAGAGGCGGTTGTTGGTGAGGGTGATGGCGATGAGGGTGGTGAGAGTGGTGGTGCTGCGGCTGAGGTGGCCCGATTGACTGATGGTACTCAGGGAGAAAGGCCTCGGAGGTGAGGGTTTGGGCCTGGGCCTCGAGATGGCGGCGGCCGTGCTGGTGCTGGTCGGATTGCTGTTGTTGCTCGTACTCGACAAGACGATGCGAATCATGTGAGTGCAATTGTTGGGGTTGTTGGGGCCCTTGCGGGTCTTCGAGTCGTTCCTGGCCTTTCGGATCCAGCGCTGGCGACGCTAGCGACCCAGCGGGCTGAAGGTGCTGGTGGTGCTCCTGCTGGTGGTGCTGGTGGTGCTGGTGGTGCTGCTGCTGCCGGACCAGGCGCTGGTGCTGCTGCTGCTGCTGGATCAGGCGCTGGTGCTGTAGCTGCTGTAGCTGCTGTAGCTGGTGCTGTCGGCCCAGCTGCCGCTGCCGAGGTCTTTGCGGTACGGCAGCAGCAGCAGCTACTGCTGCTGCTGACAACTCCTGGTCTGATGAGGCTGGGGCCTGGAGGGCCTGGGCCTGCTGAGGCTTTAGCTCGAGGCCCAGATCCTCATAATGGCCGGGAGTGTGGGCTCCCGCGTGGCCCCTCTGGCGTCGGTCATCTCCTTCATCCACACCACCAAGCCGCTGCTGCTGATGTTCGAGGTGCAGCTGTGGCGGCTGCTGAGAGTAAAAGCTCCCAGAGCGTGGGAGCACGGCACGGGTTGTATAAGTAGGAACTGGACCCGACCACGTCGTTGTGAGTGCGGCAGGGTGGAGACCGACGGCGACTGCGCGGCTGTCCACTCTGTTATCATCGACGTCGTCGCCGTCTTCCTCGTCATCTGTCTTTGGGTGACCAGGGCCCAGGCGACGACCCGAGCCTGAGCCTGAGCCTGGGCCTGGGTCCAAACTAGGGTCCAGGTCTGGGGGCGGGCGCCCACGTCGGGACTGCCGATTACTCATCGGACGAATTGGTGCCCGAAGGGCGAAAGAAAGGCGGCACGGCGCCTCGGTGATCTGTGCTGTGCAGTACTGACCGACAGACTGCCACAACTCCCGTGGAGCACGGCAAAAGGCCAGGCACGAGGCACAGCACGACGAGGCGCAATGTAGGGGCCCGTGGCTCCTTGTGGTAAGGTCGCTCAGGTCCGATCTGGGGACGTCAGTCTGCTAGCGCGTCTCATCGAGTCAAGACGAAGGGGACCCTTGGGGCGGGGGGTGGAAGGCAGTGTAAATGGCAATTGAGTATGAATTTGACGAGAATGACTGATATCAGGATGTCTGTTTCCCCCGAGTGTGATGATTGCTCACCCAGCATCTGAACTCCACCACCACTCTTCCACAAACAAGTGAAACAGGACCTGACTTGAAGGGGCGGGGAGGGCAAAAGCGTGAGATGGCAAGAGGGAAATCAATGCCTCCCCCAGTGAGGCAGAGTCGGTGAATAGACGGGCGAGGTGCGGAGGGCAAATAGTGATATCGAGGGAAAAGGTAGGTGGATTCCAGCAGAATAATTGATGAGAAAGGAAAGAGAGCTCACCTCGTCAGGCAGAGAAAGAAAGCCCTACACAACCGCAGGAACAACAAGGAGGTGTCAAATATCCAACCATACCCGCGTGCAGCTGGGCGAAGCAAGACGAAGGCCGACCTTTTGAACCCACACAACCAACACCGAACGCTTGGGTCCATACGGAGGTGACACGCACCCTGCCATATGTAGTCCCCCAATCACCATCTAGAGAGAGCAGGGCAGGGAGGGGGGGGGGGGAAGCCCGGCCTCGACAGACCCAGGAGGCAAAACCCATGAGGAGATCGCACCGTCATTTGGTGTACTGCCCGTCAGAGCTTGGGCCATGGGTCATGGCGGGGTTGAGGAACCCGTTCGGGATTGGAAATATGATGAAAGGTTGAGGGCAGAAACAAGGCGAGATTGGCTTGATCCAATCTCTTCCAGAATGACCTCTGTCGGCCAAGCTTGCTTGCGTGTGCAACGTAGGCGGAGGCCGGTGGAAATGGAGATCCCCTACTCGGTCAGTAATTCAGGGGTTTGTGGCAGCAAAAGATGGTGGTGGAACGGGATCCTGCGACTGGAACATGGAATCCGAAGAATCTCGGCCTCATGGCTTCGAACCAGCTAGCCGGCCAGCTGGGACGGACGGACATGGGGGGGGATGTAGAATGAGGATGTGTCTGGCCAGGTGCCAATAAGATGCGCCTCAAATGTCTCTGATATCCGCGGATGAGGACCCAGTTGGTTTAGCAGGCCCCCGAAAAAAGGAGGGTTGTCTGGATAACGCCTCGTGCGGAGGGGAGCGCAACGAGACCCCTCAGGGTTCTGTCATCAGAAACAGGGTCTCGTTCCCTTCTCTCGCCATCCGCGCAGAGGGTAAGGTGAGATGAAGGTAGGGCCAGCGTGACAGAACTTACAGAATGCAGGTCTAGCCCCCCTTCAGGGAGGGTCTTCATGCTCTCGTGTCGTGGAACTGTTCTGTCGCGTGGGAAACCGTCCAGTCGGTCGAGGGCGTCGAAGCATCGAAGCACCGCGGCGAATTTCTCGCCTCACTTTGCATCTCTTCGGCGTGACGGCTCACGAGCACCGTGGGCAGCTACATGTACAGTCTGCTTCGCTTCGGGTGGTTGCGGCGGTGTCCTGCGAAGCCATTGCTCTGCGTAGAGTAAAGATCACCGCTCTCCGTTGAACCATTTCTCTAGGTAAAACGTCCGCGACACGAGGAGTGGTGATCAGGAACACAGGGAAAGGGAAAAAAAAACGTGCTTCTCGCTCGAAGAGCGAAGGTGACCAGGATGCCCAGGCCGAGTAGAGAGCGACAGAGGTCGAGGAAACGTGCCAGTACAGTGGCGTCCGCATATGGATTGATTGGTCGATGTATGCCTGCCTCGCAGCCTCAGATTTCGAGCAGCTCAGGGTGTCACTCAGATCGATCACTTGCTTGGGCCGCTTAGTAGGCCCACCCATCCATCTGGGTTGTCATCAGGACCCCCGAGTCCCACGTTCCTGGTCGTGAGGATCCTTGGCGTTTTGGTCGACTCGGGGCTGTAAGCATGGTCATCGTAGCGGCCGGCTCGTGTTCCCCGGGACAAGTGTGGTGTGGTAGGGCGGACTGACGAAGGAGGGAAAAGGGGACTTTGTGCTTGTGGGCCTTCCACTGTAACCCCGCGTCCAACGACGCCCGTCATCATGATGACTTCTCATTCTGGGGAGCCGCGTTGACAGGGTCATCACGACTCGTAGCCACCTGGAGAGGCAGCCACCTGGAGAGGCAGCCACCTGGAGAGGCAGTGAGATTGTGAGAGAAGCAAAACACGACCCCGAAAGAGTGGAGATGACATGGTCCTCGATGTCGCGTTCTGGGCGTCTCCGATCTGCTCGTCGTCCAACGTCAGGGAGATCATGGATTCTGGCTGAGGGACAGGGGCCAGACTCAGCCCTGCCCTGCCTGACCTGGTACTCGTGGGAATGGCGCCAACAGACGACCAACCCCCCTTGGGCCCTTGGGGAGGGTCGTGTCCCCCTCGTTCCGTGGCGGAAGGAATCTGATAACGTCGGTGGTTGCTTGCATGATGTGGGTGGTCTGGTATCGTTCCGAGCGAGCAGATGGCATTCGCATGCACTCGCAGGGCTTCGTCAGACTCTTTCGGTTGGGAGAATCACGATTGATGGTGGGCGAGGCCAGCAGGACGTACGTTGTCGAGTTGTTGAGTTGCACGATGACCTCAGAGAAAGCTGGCAGGCACAGACGTGCAAGGCGTGGTAGGTGGAAAGGTGCCCCCCAAACGGTCCACCGTCCAAGGGTTCACTGGGAAATGCGGAGTTTAGCGGGCTTTAGCGGCCGTTCCATGTACCCACAGCGCTTAGAGAAAACGGCGCCACCCGCAGGTGCCTGAGTCCGCCTGTTCCTCCGTCCATCCGCCTGTTGGTTCCCGTCCCGTTAGCGGCTGCGTCACCGTTGTGGCTCGCGAGCTTCATCCGTGTGGTTGGTGGTGGTGCCCCCAGGTTGAATCACTCGTCAGTCGACCTCGGGAGCCCCCCCCCCCCCCCCAATTGTGCTGTTTCGGCTTGAAGGCAACGTATGGGGGAGATACAACAAGATGAGACGAGCATCGTGCTGCGAGTCGCACGACATTTGGCATCTGACATGCCAACGTTCCATGCCGTCTGCACAGGCCGCTTTCCGAGGGTGAGGCTGTCAGTGACGATCCCTCATGTCGGGTCACCTCCCCCCTTCTCGGCCATTTCCCCTTCGCATGTCTACATGTACCTCGTCAACGCCTTCTAAGTCTGACGGACGCCCTTCCTGCGGCCAGCGTCTGAAGGATGAGTGCAGCCCTCACAAACACGTCCCGTCACAGCATGCGCCTCCCGCAACACGTCGCGAGCCCCAGCGTTCGCCACATGCCACATCGGCTACAGGGCCGCATCCTGCCTGCAGCTCGCCCGCCCACACGCGGGCCCCGAGAATTGGGGTCCTGGGACAACAGCACGAGGCTGACAAGCGCCGGCTGTGACGAGCAGCACACGACACGGCGCTATGGTGGCGGCGATGAAGCTATCGTCAGTGATCGACGAGGCGTGGCCGAATACGGACTGGTCTCGGCCATCTTCACATGGTGTCCATCACAGGGGGGGGGCTTCCGACAGAATTCGGAGACAAAAAATAAAAAGATCTGCTTTGGTACATTGTGCAAGTAAAAATAAAAAAGAGGGAGCCGATCATCTCAGGACTCGAACCATCATCGGGTAGTGGGACCCTCTCCCAAAAAGATCGTCATCACAGGTTGAGGTTATTCCCATGGACTGGCGTCTCTTTTTCAGCACACACACTCCCAGCTTGAACAGTGCATGTAGTTAGTTAGGTAGTATATCCGTCATCACGCAACGCCACCGGGGTATCATCTCCTCACACGAGGCCATCCTCGCCAAATGCTTCCCTCACCACATAGCCTTCAAGCTACCACTGCGTAACCAGTGGCTTCGTCCTTTCTTTTCCAGACGCAGCATTCTTCTGTCCGCTGGGGGGTACCGGCGTCCGCTTCGGTGTCGTAGTCGCGGCAGCAGGCAGCTCCCTCACCCACCGCCCATCAGGTCCCTCCACCAACCCAGCCTCGAGTCTCGCCATCCTCCTCTCATCTTCTACGATCTTCACGTACGCCTCCGTCTTCGCCATCCAGTCGAGTCGTTCGTTTTGCAGGCTCCGTCCCAGCGCTTGCCACCCCATCCGCACCGCCGCCGCAAACGTCTCGCCGTCCCCCTCGAGCTCGCCTCCTCGTCCCTCCTCGCGCTGCAGACCCTCGACGAGCCTCTCCCAGTTGTCTTCGTCCTTGGCCGCCGGCGAATCGACCTCGCGCAACTCAATCGCCTGCGTCACGCGTGCCTGCCGCCGCTGGCCCTGGCGTCGGAGCGCGCACTCGAGCCGCACGGGCTGCGGCTTCTTGGTGCGGAGAAAGGGCACGCCCTGCGAGGTCACAAAGACGACCGGTATGCGACGGCGGCCTCGCAGCTGAGAGGACGGGGCCGGCCGGAGGGTGGATGTGTAGGAGACGGAGCCGTCGGGGTCTCGGTGCCGCGTGAGCAGCGGCGGCGGCTTGGGACGCAACTGGGGCTTGTCGAGCTGGGGCGGTTTCGGTTTGTAGTTTGCGCGGGACGTGGCCGACTCGAGTCGCTTTCGTTTGACATGGGCGAGGACTTCGGCATGGGCTGTGGAGGACGTTGTTTGGGCTTGTCGAAAGAGGGACAGGAACTGGGGTTTTTTTTAGCACTTGAGCGAGGAGAACCGTCTTCCATACACGTAGGAGCCCACCTTGTAACCAGCAGTCAGTGCTGCAAACACAACCCGCTGCCCAGTGTCGCCCTTGTTTCTCCTGAATTGTTTCCTGATCATGTGCTGGATGGGGTGGACGCTCTGATCGGCGAGGATGTCGGCTGGAAGAGGGATGCGGCGGCCTTCGCGAACGAGGGCGCGGTAGAGGGCGAGACAGGCATGCCGGTGACGCGAATCGCGTGCGGGCACGAATTGCAGGGAAGGCATTTGTCGGAGAAGTCACCAGAAGGGCACTGACGTCGTTCTCGATGTGTCGATTTGCGATGTGTAGGTCGAGAGTTGGAGGTGATTGAAGGGCCCTAACTCGACTGCGAAATAGCAAGCTCACATTTGTTGCTGGTGGGGTCAAAGCGGAAGCTGTTCCGCTACTCCATGGCCGACATTCTACCACCTCATTTTTCTGACCTGCGACTCACACAAGAAGTAGGATATGCATAACAAGTTGTGTATTCGATTGCCTAAGAATTGAGCCGATTTGGAAATTCGAGAGATGGAGTAGAGAACGAATACCGATGCAGGTCTGCAAACCCAACAGCACACACCACCCCTCTACGTCCGCCACACATTCGCACCACTGCCAATCATCATTCTCAAACACCAGATTGCCCCTACAGCATGACGGCAAACACGCCAGCCACAGCGCCCACGGCCAAAGCTCCCACGGCACCACGTCCCGCCGCACCGGCAGTCGGAACCGTCTCGGGCGCCCCGGACGTGGCCTCGCCCTCAGGCGTCGGCGTCGCGACGACAGCCATGGTGCTGAGCAGAGCCGGAGTCGTGTAGGTGGCGAGATCGTTTCCGAACGAGACGCTCGAGAAGGGCAGCTTGGACACGGGGCTGGCGTCGGGGAAGGCGACGCGATCCGCGGCGGGTGCCGACGGAGCGAACGTGTTCCTGTCAAACACTTCCAGGTTCAGGACGCTGGCAACGGTTAGCACATGAGCTTCTTGCATTGCATCCGAAAACCTCACCTGTCGATGATGTGGGCAACACCGTTGAAGAGGATGACGTTGGGAAGAAGGATCTTGGCGCCGTTGACCCAGGCTGTCCCGTCTGGCAGCACGGTGAAAGTGAGGTCGATACCCTGAGCAGAAGGCACGGTGACGTTCCCGAGGGCCGTGGAAAAGATGACGTTGTTCTCGATCATGTGATGGCTCAGCACCGCCTGCAACGTCTCTTGGTCGGCATCCTGCAGAACAGACCCGATGGCCTCAAATGCAGCATCGTTGGGCACGAAGATGGTAAAATCAGAGATGTTGACTGCCGGAGAGTCGGCTTCAGTCTCGCCAAAAGCTAGGCCGAGCTGAGCCGCCTCGACGGCGGCGTTCATCGCGAGGAGCTTGGCACGGGCGGTGAAGAGCTGAAAGGGAGCTCCAAAGCTCAGCACCGTGTCAATCTTGTGGATGATGATGCCATTGCCGAGCTTGATGTCCTGTGAGGGCAATCAGTTATTTGTATCTGCTTGGTGCGGAACGGTACACTTACCGCTTCGGTAACAGTGGAGATGGTCTCTTCTCCCGACAGCACACAGACGTCGGCGCCGTTCTTCACGAGGCCGTTGTACTGGCCGCCGGTAAAGTTGGAGAACGGCTGCCGGTAGTTGACATATGAGCTGTCGAGCAAAGTCTGGGCAAAGGTCGGAAGATCAGTGACGACCTCGGCCGGATAGAGACCCTTGAAGACATGGTTGGCGAGCAGGGCGCCAATGGCAATGGTGTCGTTCTTGTAGGCAATGGCTTCGCCCTCGGGAATCTCAATAGGGACGTTGTCGAACGCCGTGTTCGTAGGGGCAAAAATGGTTATGTTCGAGGACGATGAGAGCGTCTCAGCCAGACCATCAACGAGACCGACCAGCTCCAGCAACGTGCTGAGATCGTCCTGCGACTGGAGCAATCCGGCGAGATCGCCCTGGGCCCGGACAAGAGAAAGAAGGGAGATGGGAAGCAAGGTCGACAGATGCATCTTGAAGATTGTGAATTGGGCTGCTGAATGGGGGTCTTGTGCAGGCTGCTGCTGTTGTCCAAGGTGTTGATGTTCTGGATACTGCTTTTCGACGTGATTTACAACGGCTCCAGACGGCCTTTTAATCCACGAGCTGAGCTAAAGTCGGCCGAAGCGGTCGGGCGCGATCACGATGGCAACAGTACAATGACGCTTCCATTGTTCAAAATCCTCGTATTTCCTCTCAAAACAGACGATTTCAACGACCGCGGTAGCATTGAGGCCCTCAGGCCCAGGCTCAGATCTGCATCCTTCAGCATGACAGGGCTGCAGCTCGCTCTTCGGCCGGCGAAAATTCGCCGCCCCACATCTCCGGACGGCGGAACCGGTGTATGAGCCACGGCAGGCCGCTCTGACCCCGCGTCAGCCCAAAGTCCATGATGTCATGTCGCGAGACCGCATGAGGCTGTGCCTCTCAGAGACGCGTCTGCTCCAACTCGCACTCAATGGACAGGCTCGCCTCATAGCGGCGCGTAATGGCATCGTAGTCGTTGAGCCAAGTTCGCAGCCATCGCGATGATTGCAAGACGGTCGTTGTGTACGAGGCCAAGAAAGGGTCGATCGTGTCTAGGACCTGCGCCACATCTTCCAGTTTCTGCATGTTGGCCGAAAGCGCGACTTGGTCCGGAGTCGAGATCTGGCCGAGGCTATTATGAAGTCCTGTGACGGCGACGTGAGCCTGTATCAGCACAAAATGGGCATGCAGGACAGCCGGACCAATTGTCAAGGACGGGAGTCCAAGCATCATGGAGGGGCTCATGTCTGAGAAGATTTGTATTGCACCGTGGCACGCCTTGAGGAGACTCTGCAACGTGAAGACCACTTCTGTCGATAGTTTGGCCGGAGCTGCAAAGTCCTTCACCCCAATCTTGCCTGGTACATACGGCCCAGCAAACAGTGCCTTGTTCGTCTGTGTGTGCAAGACAACCTCATGGATAAGTAGACCCGCAATCTCCCGCCAAAAGCTAAAGACGGGCCGGTTCGCGAGGGCTGCCGGCAGTTGAGCATGCCAAGCCAAGACAAGACCGCGGAGGGTAGCCATCTGGTCCCTTGCGTCTTCGACACTATTATAGACTGTGAGGTCGCATAGACCTAGGTTGCCCGCAATTTGGTTGCAGATTTTCATGATTCGTGCCATGTGAGCAAGACAGTCGTCGGTCTTATCCAGGCACTGGATGCACTCCTCAAGGTACGGCGTCCATGTGACGATGGTTGGTCGCCTGATGCAGAGCGAATTTGAAGCTGCTGCGAGAAAGCAAGCGATCCACGTCTTTCTGGCGTCCAAAGACGTCGGATTCTTAGTCTCGGAAAAGTAAGCCGGGGGTGTCCTGACGAGCTGAGGCCCAGCGATGCCAATGTCAATGGCCATGTCGACCGCCAACTGCGTCAGCTGGTAGCAATGCCCGTGAGGCACCTGTCTGGCTTGTCGAAACCAGAATGCTGCCGTCAGGAGAGCCTTGACCATTTCCAGGGAACGGTTTCCTTTCGCGATGATCTCTTCCCCGAATGTGGACATGGCCTTGAGGACTAGCTCTTCCTGTACATGCGCCGGGAGCAGTGTGTCGCCAGGGAAAGCGAGCAGGGCCAGTAGCAGGAGCGGTGATGTCTCCCTGAGGTGCTCGAGGTCCGTATCGGCAACAGAGAGGAAGGGCCACACTACGGCATTGTGGGCGGTATACGCAGTAAGAACGCGTCTCTGCTCATCGGGACGAATTCTCGCGTCAATGAACGGAATGAGCGACTCGTTAGTGGGGGTGTCCCTCAACCGTCGACGTGTGAGTTCCTCGACCTGTGCCTCTAGTTCGGCAATGCGGTCGCGCTGGAACCGTGGCGCTGCAGGAACGCATTCGACCCCTGCACGCTTGCAGCGGTCACATTTCCCCGTGGAGGAAGCCTCGCATTTGGCTTTGAGTTTCTGGCAGAGCTCGCAGGCCCGAGATCGTTGCTTCATGGTGTAAATCTCAGCAAAAGTTGACTATGCAATGAGGGATATGATGATGCTGAGAAGATGCAACAGCCAGCAGCCTACGTGGAGTGGGAGAAATCCTTCGCATTCCTGCGGCACAGCCACGCACCACGCTGCAGTCGGAATCGATCCTTCCACATGCAGTAAGACGGCAAGATACGGGTCTCTGTTCCCATGAATCACTGGAGTTCCTTGGACCTACATCGAAGATCAGGTAGAATTGGTTCAGCGGTAAGTAAGACACGAGCAGAACCTGAACAGACAGCATTTTCTGAACTGAAGCCAACGTCAGTCTTCGTCAGCATGTGAAGGACTAGACCCTACGAGAACACATCCACGCGTGGCCTCTCCTACCACCGTCTTGGGGACTTCAACTTCCATTGGGGGGCTTGAGCAAGCGAGTCAGCTGATAATCACATTATGAAGGCAATGCTGCCTAGCTCAACCTCTGTAATATGACTTGCTAGGGAAGGGAAAAAGGACAAGCGTGGGGACAATAGCAGGAACATGTGCTATGAGCCTGTGTGAACACTGCATTTGGGAAGGGCTTCAGGAATTGAGAGAAAGGAGGGGCTACCAATGGTTATCGCACATCAAGCAACATGTAGTTTACGTTGTGTCTGATGTCTGCTACTGCATTGATAACGGTGGACTTATACAGTCCCTGAGTGCCTGCTGCCCACATGTGCTCCAAGCCCAGCAGTATCAGAAACCTGGATTCGAATTCCGCATGCGCCAAGTCTCAACATCTTTCGTCGGAAGCACTGCGACTTACCAATGCAACCACTCATCCTTGTCGAAAGCTGCCTTGTTGAAAACTGTGATAATAACACATCTGATCCAGCACGAAGGGTGGGCTGGCGATATATGTTAGGCACCGCGGATACCGAGAGCAATGCTCGCCGACGATCCAACAACCTGAATAGCAGCCGCAAGAGTAATAAGTGTGCTTCATCAGACACATCCTTCTAAGATGTCAGTGCTCTGAACGCGAGTAGATGTCTGTCAAATGATCTCAGGTTTGACAACCCAGACTTACTTCCTGAGCACGCTGTTAAAAATAATGTCGGTATTGGAGCTGCTCACTTAGATGATCTGGGTGCTTTGAGCCTGGATATCGGAGATGAATGATGTCGGTATATCTTGGACACAACATCACCATTTCGTTAGTTTAGGCTACCTATATAGTTTTATAGAAATGTCAGAGACAATCTCTGAGTCAATGCTCCATGATAGTCCCACGTCACGACAGTCATGAAGCGTCCTTGGCCCTAAGATGGTGATCAAAGCAATCAATTTTTGTAGGCAATCATTGACGCTGCATGACTCGTCATCATTCGCTTGTTAGCGATTTATACCCAGTCACAGTGACTCCAGGGTTCTCATCAATGTTCAGTTCAATATACTAGGTCTTCGGTTTCCTCTTAATGACGCTTTTGTGGCTACCATCCGGCTTTGAGAAGAACTCGCGACACGCAAACACACTGACTGCACATGTGCTCCTATTGGCCTTGTTAACGCCATTTGAAAATTTGAGTTGCAGTAATGTTTCTGGCTTGGCTGCTTTGAACCCATGCGAATCAGAGCAGTTTTTTTACATTGGCTGTAAGTGATAAGCCTCCGGTGAGCACACTGGATGCTGCTTGAAAGAGCAGTAGGACGAAGCAGCAGACCTTCTCGTGGTGTCCGGTGTCAGTAGGGACGGCGGGTGTGGTGCGGCACGTCGCGCGCAGTCGATTCCCGCGGTTGTGTGGTGCCGTGAAAGTTTTTCACTGGCGCCCTCGGACCTACAAACGGACCACGCGATCAACGACCACCGCATCACCCACGCTTTTCCGAAGCCAACAAGCTGCGCGAGGGATACTGGCGTAAGAAAACCATCCGACTTGACATTGGCTGACGTCGATGAAGAGACAGGACACCCTCCGATCCATCCGGCTCTGAGGTCGGGAGGCGGACGAGTCGAGCATCATGAGGCATCGGCGCGTCTCCCGGCGAGGGCTCGGAACAAGCCTACGTGCTCTGTCGAGCGTAATGGAAGTTGTTAAGACCGAAGGGCCGGCTCCGGTGTCAGCAGACCTGTTAAGCTTCGTGCACAAGACAAGCGGCCGGACCGATCTCGACGCCACAGCGCACCGCGATCGAACATCATATGGGGGACATGGGTTGGGTTAGTGGACAGAGTGCGGGCAGCCGTGCCGGCGTGGCGGCTGCCGTGCGTCTCTGATCTGCAAGACATGGTCGGCCGCGATTCGGAGACGAGTCGCGGTAACGGGAAGCTGGTCCTGGGGTTGCGCCCGGGGTTGCCGGTGGGCCGTAGCGCTGTGGCCGTGACCAGAAGGCAGCGGGGGAGGTGCGTTCCCAGTTCGTACCTGGGCCGTTACGCAGACGTGGTATCGCTGGTTTGCCGGATACGCTCCCAGTTCTATCTGGGCCGTCATGGAACATGACATCGTCCGCGTATCCAGTATATCCCCTAGCTCGTACCTAGGCCGTCTCGCGTTGACGTGGTATCGCCAGCGTGGTGGCCCCTGCACTTGAGACCTGCGGAGACGACACGGTGGCTCGAGAGGACGGATGCGCATGTCGGTCGGCTTAGAGACGGGTTGCCGTTGCGGCTGGCTTAAGGTGCAAACTCGGATGACACGACCGCGACCCGTGAGGAGCACGGGGCGGCACCGTCTCGGCCTTGCCCGGGGCCGAGGCACTCCTGTGGGAAGGTCTCCGATGGAGCATGAGGCTTACGGGGTCGTTAAGGCGCAGCCACGGCCGGCCGGGCGGCTTCCCGGAAGGAGTGGGTTGTTCGGGGCCACGCTCGGCAAGGTTCTCGAGTCGGTTGTTGCGGAGAGGATATCCCATGCAGTCGAAACCCATGGGCTGTTGCCCACGAACCACTTCGGGGCCCGCAAACAGAGGTCAGCAGAACAAGCGTTGGTGTTGCTGCAAGAACAAATCTACGCAGCATGGAGAAATCGTTGGGTGGTCAGCCTCGTGAGCTTCGATGTGAAGGGAGCATACAATGGAGTATGCAAAGAGAGACTCATTCAGAGAATGAGAGCGAGGGGCCTCCCAGAAGATTTGCTCCGTTGGGTAGAGGCATTCTGCTCCGATCGGACGGCGACAATTCAGGTCAACGGCCAAGCATCAGAGGTCCGGACCCTGCCTCAGGCTGGACTACCGCAAGGATCGCCACTGTCACCGATCCTGTTTCTGTTCTTCAACGCCGACCTTGTACAACAGAAGATCAACTGCTATGGAGGAGCTATAGCCTTTGTCGACGACTTCACATCCTGGGTCGCTGGACCAACCACGCAAGACAACCGTAAAGGGATCGAGGCGATCATCGAGAAGGCACTGGACTGGGAGCAGAGAAGCGGGGCGACTTTCGAAGCGGACAAGACGGCGGTCATCCACTTCACCCGATGGGCCAAAAGGTCCGATTCGGAACCTTTCACTATCAAGGGCCAAACAGTCAAACCCAAACAGCATGTCAAGATCCTCGGCGTGATCATGGACATTGGACTCAGATACAGGGAACACATTGCAAGAGTTGCGACCAAGGGACTAGAGGCTGCGATGGAGCTGAAACGACTGAGAGGATTGACCCCGGCGACAGCACGGCAGCTATTCACGGCCACCGTGGCCCCAGTGGTGGACTATGCCTCTAACGTCTGGAGGCACCGATGCAAAGACCGGACGGCAGCAGCAATCTATCGCGTCCAAAAGGTCGGAGCGCAGGCAATTATTGGAGCGTTCGTCACGATAGCCACAAGCGTAGCAGAAGCGGAGGCTCACATCGCCAGTGCACCAGAGCGATTCACGAGAAGGGCCATCAAGCTATGGACAGATCTCCACGCATTGCCTGAGACCAACCCGCTTCGAAAACTGACCTCTCGCATAAAGAAGTTCAGGCGCTTCCACCGCTCACCATTTTTCCAACTGGCAACTTCGCTCAACGAAATTCCAATGGAGGACCTGGAAACAATCAACCCATTCACACTGCCGCCGTGGATGGAAAGAGTGCAGACCGTCACTGAATGGAACGACGAGGATGCAACACTGACGCGGGTCGATGAGGAGGCCACGGTGCGCATCGCTGTGAGCAGCTCGGCACGAAACGAGGTGGTCGGCGTCGGTGGAACCGTCAAGGGGCCAGGGACGAGGCTCGAGACGTTTTCCTTCACCCACGGCATGAGGACCGATCAGAACCCATTTTCCGGAGAACTGGTAGCGGCAGCATACGCGTTGCGATTTCTGCCGCAGCTGAGGGGGCAGACCGTGACGCTACTGACAAGCAACAAAGCCGCGGTGCTGACACTTCGAAACCCCCAACAACAGTCTGGACAAGAGTACGTTCGCTGCATCTACGAGGCGATCACCCGACTGCGAGAAACCGGGAACACCATCTCAGTCGTGTGGCTTCCGAGCCATCTCGACGACGACCTCCTGAAGAAAGCGAAAGGAGAAGCACGCAAGGCCAGCCGAGATGGCGCCTTGCCTGAAAAACAGTTCCCAAAGATGCGATCCACCACCCTCAACGCTGCAAGGCGCAAACTACGTGTGGAAAGACGACTACCAGATAATGTTGGAAAACTCTCGAAGGAAGTCGACATAGCACTACCCGGCAAGCACACTCGAGAACTATATGATAACCTTTCCTGGATGGAGGCGAGCATGCTGGCCCAGCTCAGGACAGGCATGGCGAGACTGAACGCCTCACTTTTCCGAATCAGGGCAGTAGCTTCAGCCCAATGCGCATGCGGACAAGCGAGAGAGACGGTGGAGCACTTTCTCCTCCGATGCACACGATGGGCAACACAACGAGCCGAGACACTCATGCGCCCTGGCACACAAAGAGACAACATCTCCTTCCATTTGGGAGGTAAGACGACATCAGATGGTGATGATTGGAAGCCGGACATGAAAGCAGTCCGAGCTACGATACGCTTTGCGAAGGCCACGGGCCGACTGGAGAACGTGTGATCCCTTGCGGGGGCCTAACACACCAAAACCCCCCTTCTTCTACTAACCGAACCTAACACCCACACCTCGTGTCAACAACAGTAAGCGCCGCTTCAGTCGCCGTAGATAGGACTCTGAACACTTGAAGAATAGCCTTCAAGCAGCTTGCCAATACAATCTAAACCCCACGAGAAACCGGCGGCAAGACAGAAGACGAGAAAGCAAGAGCGGAAAGATGACCTATTATGGGCTTGGGAGATTCGGACAGACTAGAGGAAGCGACCGTGTACAATAGCAAATAGTGCCTTATTGGCTCTAGGCCACCAGGCGTAATAAACTTGTGTGTGTGTGTGTGTAAGTGATAAAAGTCCGGTAACAGGAAGTCGTAGCGAAGGTGATTGAAGGAGGAACGATCAAGGTCAAACATGATTTCCGGATACTCCATGGGTTCTCATTGTACTCCATCAATCCGCTGATTGTTTGCTATACGATTGAGAATTCTAGAAGAACGTGAACGAGGTTCGTTTACATTATTGCAAAGCTGGGGGGTGCGATTGATTCGACGAACTGTCTAACACACCTTGGTGTTGATGGCATCCCAAAGAGGTCTCTGGCCGAGGATCCATTAAAATTATGACGGCGTGCCTAGTCAACGCTGTCTTGCATTGCCAACATGTTTAACACATCTACTAAACCTTCTGAGTGCAGAAAGGCGATTTCAACAGGGCTACTAGTTTTGTCTGGTATACTTTGAGGAACTTGATTATTGGGTAAACGTCTGCTTGACTATAGCCTACAGCTTCTCCTGGCCGACTGTTAATGGATCCGGCTTTCGCGGCAAGATTCTCCCAAGGCTGTTAAACTCAGCCTGCAGCACGCCATTGTCGGTCGTGTGGTACGAATTGACGAATCCGTGAAGATAGGCGCAACGACGTTCGTCGTCTATCAGAAAAGAATGACGCGATAGGCCGCCGTGCGTGATGCCGAGGCCATGCAGCCTTGCCAAAACGGCCTGGCATTTTCCCATATCGTGGATAGTAGCCAGACGAACCTTCAGTCTCTCCAACATGTGGCCGATGACGCGGGTGCGGTTCTCGGTGATGTGCGCTAGGAACTTGGGCGCAATGCCGTGACCTTCAATGGCGGCATACATCTTACTATCTGCATACAGCCCATAGCGAAAATGAGGCTGCCAGATCCAGAAGCAAATAGCCGTGGGGCATTGCCCGTAGCGGCTAGGCGTCGTGACGACTCTGGCTGTCAACTGACCGTGGCACTGTAGCTCGTCCAGCGTATCGACTCCAGAGAGGCGCGAGGGGAGGTCAAGCAAGTCGATTCTGGAAGCATGCCATGGTGTGCAAACATCCGTAAGGCAAGTGTTCTCAGTAGAGCTTAGGCTCAAACGCCCATCTCCTGTGGGACCTAGGCGTCCGATAGTCCAATCTCCTCGGCTGACGGACGTGAAGGCGAGGAATTCGCCGCGGATGTCGGGGAAGCATGCCCCGGGCGGTGCGGAGGGAGATACAAGATACTTGAAAACCGAGGATTCAGTGAGTATGCGATACAAATATGGCTCTTGGGGGTAACGCATAAAGGCATCGACAATTTCGAAAGATTCGGACATGGTAGTTGATCGTATTTTCAAGGCGACGTATGCGGGAATGAACGAAGCAATACTATGTGGCATGATCATAGGGGTGACCATCCATTTATAGGCAGTTCACATGTACTCTGTCCAAACGTAAGTCGAGTTATCGGCGTGGTGGCATGGATGATACATCATGTGGTTCCACATTTGGCTGTCTGGCAAAGCTTGATCCTGTAGAGACGGTAAAGTTTTGTCTGCGGCGCCTGAGGATAAGCAGCACCGGCGGGCCTGCAGGTCAGGGTTTCGAGAATCCAAGACAAGGGACCTGGACGTTTTCATGGCCAGAAAAGAAACTGACGTTGGCCTTCATGTACACGAGGGTCTTCGGACGTGGAGAGCATATTTTCTAATGCCATCTATCGTGTATAGACCGACCAATGATTCTGCCAAGCCTTGGGCTTTCCTGTACCGCAGGCACTTTCAGATGTCCTTCTCAACATCGGCCACTGTCGGAATTCTGTTCAGCTTCACGCCTAGATAACCAGCGACCAACTGGACAGAGTCCCACACCTTTTGCGTGTCTTCGAGAGAGACACCGAGCCGCCTAGTCCCTCGGAGGTGCCAATGCGTGTTTCTGCCAAGATTCTGGATCATAATGCTGCAGAGGACGACCATCTCCGTGTCGAAGTCGTCCAGCACCTGGCGGTCGCAAAGGTACAGTCCATACGTGATGCGCTCCGACACCCACGCAAAGTCCCTGTGGTCCTTGAACAGGTCGAGGGTGCTGTCCGTGTCCCGCGTGTAGATCTTGGCGAGCCACTCCTGGCCGCGCTTCAGGCTGTCATCGTCGCACTGCCACCCCTCTCGCGTGATGCTTCGGTCCTTGTCCTCCTCCCTTTCGCGGGCGTTGATGGCCAGGATTGCACTCATGGGCTTGCACACACCGACGACGCTAATGGTCTTGAAAAGACCCTCGCGGAGGCGGCGGACGAGCTCCTGTCGCTGCTCTGGTGTCGAGAACTCGGGTTTCGTGAGGAGGTGCGTGTAGAGATCGGCGCAGAGGTCAGGGTCATTGCTGCCGACGAGCGCTGCGAGGGTGATCATGTACCATTTCGACGAGCCGAGCTGTGTCAGAGCGATGTTCTTCTCGATCTGCTCGAAGAGCTCTACAAGGGGCTTCGGGACCTCAAATTGATCAGCCATGGTGGGCAGTCCGGCAGTTGGTGCGTGCGAGTCGTGTTGGTGATGTTGGGTTGAACAGCCGGCGCGGGGTAGACGTTTGGCGGGGTTCAGACTGAGCCTCGACAATGGGTCAAGTGAGACAAACTAACTCATGGGAGGCGTTGTGTTGGCGGCATAACTTGTTTGAGTTCACCCTAGTCGCTCATTATGAAGACTCTATACTACTCACGAACAAACTATTGTACTGGTTTCTGAAGCTATCATCCGTGGACCATTGTTTTACACTGTCACATCTCGCAAAGCAACACCCCGGTGACGGAGGTACTGACCAGCGATCAGTCAGAAATCAATAGCGCCGCGGGGTACTGCATGAGCAGCACCTAACCTTGACATAATTGTAGTTCGAGGGAGATACAGAGCAAATGGACACCGACCATTATACCGCCGGGACCATGTCTCGACTAAGCTTTCAAGATGACCTCCTGCAGTCTTTGAATGGGCGATCCGTCATTGTTACGGGCGCCGCTCGAGGGATCGGGGCAGCCACAGCAACCCTCTTCAACGAACATGGCGCGCTCGTGTGCATCACGGATCTGCCGGCGCGCAAGGAGGACGCACAGGCGCTTATTGACTCTATGAAGCACCCCGAGAACGCCATTTTCGCGCCGGCCAGCGTCACGGACTGGACGGCCTTGATGCACGTCTTCAAGACTGCTCTGAGTAGGTTCGGCGTGATTCACATGGTCGTGGCCAATGCCGGGATCATGGAGAGCTCGCCAGTCTTGGACGTCAGCGTCGACGACACAGGGGATCCCATCGAGTCGAAAGAGGCCAATCAAGTCCTGGATGTCAACTTGAAGGGGACCTTGAACAGTGAGCCCCCAAACCCTGTTTTCTGTTCTGCAGGCCCATGCTCAGAGGTGACCAGCATTGCGTCTGAGCTTGCACTACATGACCAAGAACAGTCCAGCATCCGATGGGTTTAGAGGGTCCGTCGTCCTGGTGGCATCTATATCCGGGTATTTCGGCTCGACGGGAAACGCCGCGTACATCGCTTCGAAGCACGGCGTCATTGGGTTGCTGAGAGCATCGCTGGACAAGGCAGCCTCACTGGGGGTGCGGGTGAACGCAGTGACACCTGGTTACACGCCCACGGGCATCACAAAGGAGTTTGGCAATGTCGTCACGCAGGCCGGTCTGGACGCCAACACTCCTGGTGCTGTCGCCACGGCCATAGCGTTTGCCGCCGCGGATCCTTCCAGACACGGCACCTCTTGCTTGGTCAGTTGCATCACTTGTATTGAGATGAACGTGCCTAATTGTGTGTCATTTCCAGGTCTTGGGTCCTTATCTACATGAAATGGAGTACAGCCGGGCAAACGTCCTGCAGTCCTGGCTCGGGCAAGACGCAGCGGCTGCTCTCGCGAGATTTGGCGCCTTTGTAAAGTCGATCGGCGGGTACCGTCTCCCGAAACGGGAGCCGATCGACCGTGTAGACTGAGCTGCTTCGAGTAAATGAAAGCATAATTCGAGGACAGGCTCGTCACTGGGTCTGCCTTTGCGCAACAGTGACCCAGAAACCTTCCATCATCCAGAAAGCAGCGCTGTGAAGCTTCCTCACCGGGAGGGTCGGGTCATTGATCGTAAAGTCGTATCGTCGCAAGAGCTGGAAGCAGCCATGAGCACATGTTCAGGCTTGAAGAGGGGGGCGACGGAACTTCTTACCTCTGGTAGAGCCTTGCTCATCTGCATGAAAGCAACGTTCCGGCCAAGACACTTGTACCGTCCATAGCCAAAGAGAGCCTCCAGCGTGGCGGCCATCTCGGCCTTTCTGGCGTCACCGACCTCGAGCCATCTCTCGGGCCGGAAGATGCCCGCGTCGGGGCCCCAGTGCTCCTTGCTCCGGAGGATCCCCCACTGAAACGGTCAGCAAAGCGTCCAGTCCAAGCAGCAGCACGTGCACTTAGAGGCGATGCCTGTCCTGCTACAGGCTTAATTACTTACACCGTCCATGCCCACCTGCGTGCCGGCCGGCAGCGCAAAACCAGCAACGACGTCCCCACCAGGCGGAACCGTCTTGTTGAGGAGGGGCGTCTGCGAGGCAAAGATGCGCATGCCCTCACGGATCACGGCCTGCAGGTACGGCAGCTTCTTAGCCTCGGCATCCCTGATCGGCAAGCTGACCTCGCCTTTGGCGGCGGCGCCCTCAATCTCGGACAGCAGGCGGTGGTAGACCCGCGGCGTCGAGAGGACGTAGAGCACAGCCATGCGCAGGGCCACGGCTACGGAGTCCGTGCCGGCGACGCTGTCGAGGTTGGCGCGCCCTGTTAGCCTGGCTGAATCACATGGGCGGAGTATGTGGAGAAACGGCTGGTTAGGACGTACACTTGGACCAGGGCCTCGCTGGTTGCTTCCGCTTTGGTAGCGCCGTGCTTGAGGAACTGAGCGATCATGTCGTGTCGCGGCTGCGCGCCTGGCTCGAACCGCTCGTCGAGCGTGTCCTGAGCCGCCCTGCGCCGGGGGCTGTTAGCCTGCCATTATGTAGGGTGGTTGATGCCAGTGAAAGGAAGAGCGAGGGGGAAAACTCTACTTGATGAAACATCCAAGACCTTCCTTGTCGGTGGGCTTGGGCAGCGCCTCGGAAAAGGGCCACTTCTGGACGAGGCTGGCGAGGAACGGGAGGGTGGCAGCGGTGGAGGCGATGGGGAAGAAGCCCTCGTTCCACTTGATCCAGTCATAGATGTCTTCGCCCTTGTCGAGGAAGCCAAAGGGTTTGCCAAACGTCATGTCCCCGACAATGTCGAGGGCCAGAAACTGCGTGATGACGGACAGGTCGAGGGGCTTGTGGTCACACGGCGTCGTGATGTACTGCTCGTCGATGATGCGGAAGAAGCGCTCCAGCTGCCGGTCGATGGCTTGTTCCTGGTCACCGTTGATATCAGCCTTGGCACGCGAAGCACGGCCTCGACAGGCGCAGCACGGCCTCGCCAAGCGCAGCACGGCCTCGACACAACAGGCACAAGAGCAGAGACCCCAGGTCACGTACCACGAGTATGGTCCCAGAGTAGCCAGGCCCGACCTTGGTCCGCAGGGCCGTGTGCCTGGCCTCATCCAGCATGGCGAACGAGTGGTCGACGCCCTTCTGAAACCGAAAGGTGCCATACCAGGGCCCCTTGCGATACGGGGACTTGTGGGCTTCCATCTTTTGGCAGTGCCGATAGTCAGTCGTCAGGACGACATTGGGCCCGATGCGGACGAGCGGGCCTGGAACGACAGAAACGAGGACATGTCAGCACGTTATCTGCGCCTCCATGAGCCAAACACCTCAAAAGGTGGAAAAAAAAAGAAAAAAAAGAAAGGAAGGCTGGCGTGGGTTATCAGACCATATTCGGTGGTCAAATCACTGAGGATCTGGTGGGATTGGCCGATGAGGTTGGCCCTGAGCAGCGGGAACGGTGAGAGCGACCACAGGAACGGACCCGGTATGTGAGAGAGGCGTCGCCACCCGTGGTACGCCCTGGCCAACAAGAGGAGGAAGCCGGCGATCAGCAGGCCGCTGAGGAGCGGCGGCGAGGGGAGCCTGATCTCAGCCAGCGACAAAGTCATGGCGGGCTTGTAACTGCGCGCTGGTACCGCGGTCTGTGGGATGCGGGAGGCTGAGGGCTTCACCGGCAGGGACACATACACACACACACGAGTCGTCGCAAGCGGGCGGGGGGGGTTTGAGTACAACGACGGAGCCGGTCAGGGCGGTTGGAGGGTGGGAAGGGCGGAGGGCGGGAGTTGGTCACTTCTCATGTGAACGAGCTGGTGTATACGGCAGCACATATGGGACCATGGCCCCCTGATCACCTTTCTTGTTGGCCGTCGACTGCAACGCCGGATGGCGAATTAAAGCTCTTCAATCAGCCATGGACATGGATCTGGGGAAGCCTCCCTAGTTACGCGGTGAGAAAGATAACCTCCCCAAGCTCCCCCACGCACCCCGAGAGACAAGGGTCTGATTCGACTTGGCGGGCACTTTATCTCTTTACAATCACTTCACAAGAGGTATTGAATCAAGCCTCATTTGTAAATTTGTCTCGATTCATCCATTTCTGGGCTGACTCGAGAACGGCAGGCTACCTTAGTCTCTCGAGCTAAAGCGATCTAGGCTTGGTGAACCACGGAACAGCCCGCAGCCATCTCGGACTGGTCGCTATCCTCCCCCTCTCCCCCCACTGGCCGCTCAATTGAAGCCATGCCTGATCAGTGTCCAGTGTCGTTAAAGTCCAGTCGCTGCACAGGGCCCAAAACGAAAAAGGGCTGGACCCTCTTCGACCCGAACAGCAACGTCCTTGATGCTGGCAAACGCGTCTGGTTGGCTCACGGGCAACGATAGGGACCGCCAGGGGGGGGATGGCAAGGCGGCTGCTGTATGGATTGTGAACCTGGTCTGTCCACGCCCACAATCCATGCCTTGGGTTGCTTGGCAGCAACAGATTCGTGTGCCGTACCGTATGCCCAATCTCCTAAGCCCGCCCTGGATATTGCTGTGCATGACACGGAGAAAACCTGAGCTGTCACTTTTCTTGGTACCAAAGTGAAAGGTCTCCCAGCTGGGATCATGATCAACACCCACCCCGGCTTCTGCACTGCATGCGCCGCAACAATGGCACTTGTTCCCGTACAATAGGGGGGGGCAACCCTGACTGCCAGACTTGATCCATGCTTTTTTTTGTTGCTCGGTTATACTGTACTTGTACGCTCAAGTGGCGGGGAAAGCCTGGGGGTGTTTCGAAATTTGTTTTTCTTGCTTTATACATCTGGTCACCCCCGGCCATTGCTGGTCAGAGAGAAAGAGAGGAAAAGAGAAAGAGAAGCGAAGGCTACGCGAGGAAAGGCGGACGACCCTCTCCCCAAGCCGACTTTGCTCTTTTCTTTTTGACGACAAATTCCCCGCCGAAAAGCAAAACGTGGTTGAGCGTGGAACTTTCGACTGTCAAGTGTCAAGAGCGCGGGAACGGACCTCGTTCTCGCGAGGATGCAGATTGGCGGCGATGGACCGCTCTGCATTGCGGTGCTGTGGTCCATGGCCTTTGTCGTCACCCTTTTCCTCTTTCTTCGATTATACACGCGCATCGTCTGCGTGGCGGCGTACGGCACCGACGATCACTTTTACGCCATATCATGGGTACGGCCGCGAGCCGCTTGAGCGCAGCGATTCCCACTCCTTTCGAGAAGCCATAAAAGCTGACCAAGACGGCTCTGCCGAGCCTCGCAGGTCCTCACACTAGGCTACAGCATCATGGGAACCGTGGCCGCGATCCACGGCTACGGACGGGATGATCTCACGGCGCCAGAGGACGTTGAAGCGACGTATTACCGCATGATCGCGCAATCATTCTCCCTTCTAGCGACGGGAACATCCAAGGCGTCGGTCGGTTTCTTCCTGCTGAGACTTGTCGTCGTACGGTGGCAAATCATCTCCATCTGGGCCATCATGTCCGTCATGGGCATCTTGAGTATTCGTAAGATTAATGTCCTGTTTGTTTTGCCATTACGCATAATCCAGGCTGACAAAAGTGACAGTCAACACATTCCTCACGTGGCTCGCATGTCGACCTATGCCGTACGCCTACGACGAGAGCCTCAATGGCACCTGCTTCAACACGGTTCCTCCCGCGGTGATGCTGGCTAGTACGTATTCAAGCTGGGGGTTAACGCCAGTCGGTAGCTGAGCACATTTGCTAATGCCTCCGCAGTGGGCACCATCGCCGTGGATATTTACTTTGCCGTCCTTCCCTGGATCTTCATCTTCAAGCTCAACCTGTCACGCCGGGAAAAGCTGACCATCGCCGGCAGTCTGAGCCTGGGCATCTTGTACGTTGGCATCTCCCCCGCCATTTCACACTGCCGCAGGTCTAACACACACACACAGAGCCGCTGCCGCAGGAGGCATCCGCGTCATGAACGTCAAGGGGGTCCGTGACGTGCCCGTGGCCGTGATCGTGTGGTCCCAGGTCGAGACATCCCTGACGCTCATCTGCGTCGGCATACCCGTGTGCCGTCCACTGTGGTCACGGGTCATCGGCAAGTGGTGGCAGTCGCGGCATGGCGAGTCGTACGAGCGGCAAAACGACGCCCGCGACCCGCCATCCGACCCCATCGGTTTGCATACGATTGGCGGCGGCACCATGCCCGGCGTGCCCTCCAAGTCGCAGGAGTCGAAGAAGAAGCGGTGGAACCCGCTGACGGGGAGCGGCAGCAGGGGGGACGACGGTGACAGCGACGAGGTCGATCTCACGGCGAACGTTGCACCAAGGGGCCGGAGTGGACGCGATACCGACTCGCAGGGCGAAAGCCAGAGCGGACACGAAGTCAAGGAGGCGTGGGTACGGGGGGATGCCATGACACGGTCGACGGTGGAGGGGCGGTCTCCAAGTCCTGGTGTGGCTCTGGAGGATGCAAAGTCGGGTATCATGATGTGTAAGACGTATGATGTAACTCGGTAGAATTGGAAAGATCTCGCTCAAGCTTGTGATATGTCATGAAGTCGTCAAGAGAAAGAGACAAGCATCGTGCGGTGGGACTGCTACAGACGAAAGGCCGGGACGCGTAGCCGTATTTCGAGCGATGAGAAGAAGGGGAGAAAGCCGGATATTTAGACGTTGTCTCGATTCTTTAGTATTAGTAGATTGGGTATTAGTTGGTCATGCCAGACATAAGATGGGCATAGCAACGATCTGGTTGCTTCAAGTTGGCGATGTTGCCACATGCCCCGTCGCCAGTGCTAATCCAGGTGACTAACCCGTGGATTGAACAGACCACCATGCTGTGTTTCCTTCCCACTCTGGTCGTGCGTCGTATTCTCCGTTTCTCAGTCTTACCTGGGCTGTTTTTGGCGGCTGCATGTCGCTGGTGCATGTGTCGAGGCTCACGTGCAGTAGGACTCGATCTATTACCACAGTTACGTGGCCTTTGTCAAGACGGGCGTCCCCGCATATGTGGTGCCGCTCATACGATTAAAAAGTTCATCTTTGGGTCCTTCAAGGTCTGCACCCACCCCAGGGAGTTGTCGTCGGCCAGGCTCCAAATCTGCGGCAACGCCTCCATGGCTGTGTAGATGAAACCCCAGGGCGTGTTCCGCAGCAGACGCTGCAAGCGATCCATGACCCAGGCCTGCTTTATGGGGTCCCTCGTCTCGGCGCCGGCAATAAAGGTTGGGAACGTGGTGGCTTTGAAATTGGGGTCGTCGTCGGGGATGCTCGAGAGATGATGCATCAGCTCTCGCTCAAAGAGGTCCTGCGTGTTGGCGGGTAAATGGTGTCTCACGACGGGGATTGCCTGCAAGAGGTAGAGGCAGGCCGCCATGGCGTGGGCCGAGCCGGCATGGATGCGGCTCTCGATGGGAATGTGAGCAAGGTAGGTCACAGTCAGGACATCGTTTGCCCAGGCACGAATGTCGAAGCTCTGAGCGCGGGCCAATAGCTGGACGCCGGTTTCGGTGACAAAGGTGGCGGACACCTCGTCGTCCGTGTTGGCGTTAGACAGTTGTGCAGCGGCAAGGAGAATCTCGAGAATCTCGGGCGGACAGCAGAGATAGCTGTTGGCGGTGGCACGCTGCAGAATAGATCTGGCCTCGACGGACTGGAAATAGGAGGCATCGGCGGTGGCTGCGGTGTTGGGCATGAATGCTGATGCGAGAATGTAGTAGCTGCGAGTCGTGCGTGTGAGTACTGGCCTTTAGATCACGTAGCCCCCCCCGGCCCCCCCCCCCCCCCCCCCCCCCAAAAAAAAAAGAAAGGAAACGAAAGAAAAAACTCACATGAAGCAATCAGACAGTATGTAGTCTCTCAAGAACTCGGTGGAGGGCTCGGCGGGCGGCAGAAAGGCCATGATGCGGCCGGCACCCTCGAGATGGGCCTTCCAGCCATGCTTGCCCGACTCGATGAGCTCGACGTTGATGAAGAACAGAACAGCGGCGAGGATGACGTCGCTGCCCATGTTGTCCATGTTCTGGAGGGCTTCGTTGAGGAGGCGCAGGGCTTTTTGCTTGGCGACGAGCGAGTCCATGAGGGCGCGACGGGAGGCTTCCTCGCTGCGATGGATGACCATGCCGCTGGCATCGTGGGTGGCTATCGCCGCCATCGAGGGCTTGGTGAGGTTGGAGAGATGAGCAGCAGAGGCGGCAACGATGACATGCTGGAGCAAAGGGTTTCCTTGGGTTAAGGGGATGAGGCTGCGGAAGGGATTGCGGTCTGGCAGGTCGTGGGAGACGAGATCCTTGACGAGCCGGGTCGTGACTGTACAGAATTAGCAAAGAGACACGGGTGTATTACGAGATGGGGGCTTGGTTCTCACAGTAGGACAGGTAGTAGCGGTAGGGCTGATCAATGTCTTGGAAGATGGGGTCGACGAGCACCCACGGCGTCGACGGCACGCCGTGCGCATGGCCCGGTGTCGCGGGAGGCGACCGGCGGCACAGCTGCGTGTCGACAACATGGCCAGGGTCAGGGTCCTCATGGAATGCAGACGGGGCCGAGGCTGCGTGACTCCGGGCTGCTGTACCTCCCTTGTTCGCATGACGGAGTAAGCTGCTACTGTTCGAAGGAAGAGCCGTGACGGATGAGGAGGCCCGATGAGGCGCCACCGAAGACGACAGGAGACAGGCAGCCGAGGACTTGCCGGCGAGCTTGCCTCGGCTGGCGACGCCGTCGGCCCATTTGTAGAGCTTGCCGTAGCCCAGACACTCGTGGCCGGCAGTTGTGCACTTGTGGCAGCTGGGATAGGAGCGGTCGCAGCGGAGGCGGCGGCGGCGGCAGTTGTGGCAGGCCTTGGTCGGGGCCTGCTGGAGGAGATCTGCGTTGGCCATGCCGCAGCTGCTCTCTGGGTTCCCTTTTCGGCCAAGACGAAAGAGACGACAGGGCCAGACGAGACAAGGTTGTCAGGAGAAAGACGTGTGTCACGCAAGGCGAGCTCACGCCTCGGTGGGTCGCCGCCCAGAGCAGGGCCTCGGATGGATCGAGGGAGAGATGGACCGGAAATGGGTCGACGGAGAGATGCAACGGGGCATCCAGGCGGGCATGGTTGTTTGCGTGTGTAGGGGGAGGAGTGTAGCCCAGGATGTGTGTGTGTGTGTGTGTCTGGAACGACGACGACGTTGGATGGACATGCGCCGCTCGGAAGGAAAAACCGACGTGATGTCTCTCCGCCTGTCCATCTCTCCTTCCCTTGGTTTGACTCGGACAGGTCGGCGCAGGCACGAGGGGTCCTCGCAGCGGGACCGGAGCCGACAGCCCCCACCCACTGTCTCTTGCCCAGGACGGACAGCTGACTAGTCCGGATGAGGTAGTCAAGACGCAAGACGTGCAGGTGAGGCCGCTAGTACACTTTGCAGTGTGCCTGCCAACCGTTCTCAGGGTTTGCTTATGTCATGTCTTGACGTCAAGTCATTGGCTCCGGGTGCAAACTTGGCTTTGGCAAGCGCGTCATAGCCTTTTCCTTTCTTCTTGCCTCTTCATTTCTGTCATTGACGTGAGGTAGGTGCTAAGGGTCCATTCGTGTCCATGCCTAGCAGGAATACTGCAATATGACTGCCCGTTCCATCTGCCGGGCTTTTGTCACCCTGCTGTAGAAGCTGCTGAGTAAAGCACCCAAATGACACATTTCTAATACGTCTTAACCCGAAAGAGGCAGTCGTTTGCATGTGTTGCAGCTGCTTCGTGATGTCGCCCTTTCTCTGTCATGCTTCCTTCCTGCTTCTCCTCCCCTCCTCTCCTCTCCCCCTCCTCACTCATCCTAATGACCCAGATCCATGGTCCTCTGGCATGACCAATCTTCATCTTGACACATCTTTCTGATCCCAAGTCGCTTGCTATTTATCCTGCGATCTGCCAGCCAGCTCTTGGCCGTCTTGGTCCTTACTCACAGCCAGCTCCTGTTGACTAACTATATGCCCATTCGGCTCACCTTGGCTCACCTTGCTCACTTTGGGCGTGGACCTTGATCACTCCCTGATTACTCCCCCACCACCACACCCTCTCGGCAACAAATACGACACACCACCATGCCGTCGTTGCAACACTGCTCGTCGAGACCCCGCTCGCCATCGCCGTCTCCATCACGGACCCGATCCCGATCCAAGTCTCAGACAGTCCGGACCGCCGCCGGCGCCGATCCCGAAGCGACGGCCGGTGCCCATGTCATCGACTACGAGACACTGGGCCGCCAGCGCCCTGCCGCCTTCCACAACCTCTGGTCCGAGCTGGGCTTCTGTTTCGCCCTGCTCGGCTCCATGCTGATGTCCGAATTCTTCATCTCGGGCTTCCACATCATCCTGCCGCCGCTCGCCGTCGAGCTCGACATCCCCAAGGCCTCCCAGACCTGGCCCTCGAGCGTCTTCTCCCTCATCACCGGTGCCTTTCTGCTGCCCTTTGGCCGCCTCGGCGACATGTACGGAGGCTACCTCGTCTTCAACGCCGGCCTCATCTGGATGCTCCTCTGGTGCCTCGTCGCCGGCTTCAGCCAAAACTACATCATGCTCATCGTCTGCCGCGCCCTGCAGGGCCTGGGTTGCGCCGCCTTTCTGCCCGCCGGCATCATGCTGCTCGGCAAGACCTACCGCCCCGGCCCCCGCAAGAACCTCATCTTCGCCATCTACGGCGCCTTTGCGCCCCTCGGCTTCTTCTTCGGCATCCTCTTCGGTGGCATCGCCGGCGAGGCCTTGACCTGGCGCTGGTACTTCTTCCTCGGCACCATCATCCTCGCCGTCGTCTGCGTCGCCGCCGTCGTCTGCGTGCCGCTCAGCGACGTTACCCTGCGCCCGCCCACCGGCCTGCGCATGGACTGGTGGGGCTTCGCCACCATTGTGCCGGGCCTCATCCTCGTCGTCTACGCCATCACCGACAGCTCCCAGGCGCCTGGCGGCTGGGCGAGCCCGCGCATCCTCGTCACCCTCCTCCTCGGCGTCCTGCTGCTCGCTGCCGCCTGGTACGTCGAGGCCCGCGTCGCCTCGAACCCGCTGCTGCCGGCCGACCTCTTCACGAACCCCTACATGCGCGTCCTCGTCGTCGCCCTCTTCTTCGGCTACGGCACCTTTGGCCTCTTCCTCTTCTACTCGACCTTTTACATTGAGCTCGTCGTCGGCAAGCCGCCCCTGCTGACGGCCCTCTGGTACGTGCCCATGATTGTCGGCGGCCTCGTCATCGGCACCGTCGGCGGCTTCACGTTGCACCTGCTGCCGGGCCGTGTCCTGCTGATCCTCGCCGGCCTCGGCAACCTCGTCTGCGTGCTGCTCTTCGCCCTCATGCCCGCCGACCCCAACTACTGGGCCTGGGTCTTCCCCGCCATGATCGCCGCCACCATCGGCATCGATATCACCTTTACCGTCAGCAACGTCTTCATCACGACCAACCTGCCCGCGCGCCGCCAGGGCCTCGCCGGCGCCCTCATCAACAGCACCCTCTTCCTCGGCATGAGCTTCTTCCTCGGCATGGGTGACGTCGCCGTCGGCCAAACGAGCTACAAGCCGCTCAAGGACAACTACCAGGTCGCCTTCTTCCTGTCCGTCGCCACGGCTGTCGTCGCCCTGCTCCTCTTTGCCTTTATCCGCATCGGCCACGCCAAGAGCGACCTGACACTCGAGGAGCGCGAGGCCATGGAGAAGCAGCGCCGGGCCGGCGAACCCGATGTCTCGGCAGGTGGCGACGAGGAGTCGGAAGACAGCAGCGGTGTTGCGGTGCCGGCGCCGATGCCAACACCGACCGAAAGGCGCTCTGCCTTTCTAGATGGTGAAGACGAGAAGGCGCCAGCTGCTCCGCGCCAGGGGTTGGGAGAGACGGTGTAGACTTGAGACGTGGCGCCTATACAATCTGCGCAAGGTCAAATAAAGGGCATGCCATATACTGATGAGCGATATACAGACTGACTTGAATTTTCCTTTCCTTTTCCTTTCTTTTGCCGGAAAAGGTCACATCATAGCGTTGGATACCAATATCATGGACAATTTACTTTTGACACTGGCTCGTCTCGCTGACACTGGCGCGTCGCACGGCACACCCGACCGGTCCCTCTTACACCGAACCGAGCGTTTCCGAAAGAAAGGGGGCCACACCCCAGTTCGTCGTACATGTCCCCATGTTCAGTCGTTTTGCCGACCTGGTCACCCTGCCTGTCTTGCCCTTCTCGAAGGTCGCACACCAAGACCGGCACACCAAGACCGGCGGAGAGTAGTTGAGGGCTCACACCCCGACCCTGGCCCATGCCGATGTGACTTCTCCGGCGGGGTGGCAAGTGGGTGTCTCTCGGGCACCGGGACTCTCGGGGACGCAAGTGGAGCGAGAAAGACTTATCCAGCTCAAGCTCTCTGCCGCTGTGCCGGATCCGACTTGTCGTGGCTCAATGGGGTATACAAGGTGAGAAGACTGACATGTCTCCGCGTAGTGGCTGAGATGGCTAAAAGCTGTGATCAACAATACACGAAGAAGTGAATTAGAAAAGCAGTGTAAAGAGGACAAACTCGTCAAGCGCCATGTGGCCAAGTGAGCACGGCAATGCTTGGCGCACTATCCGACAGACTTACATGTATACATACTCTCCGCAAGATGAGTGCATCCGCTCTAGATGCAACGTCGCCACACTGTCGTTCTCGCGCACCCAAGAACAGACCACACTTCATCCCATCATGCGAAGGACCAGAAACCCTGGTTGGCCACAGACTGTGGCCCCAGACTGCCACAGACTGCCACAGACTATGGCCACAGACTATGATCCCCCTCCGTCCCGGGCGATCGTGCTCCCCCCGTACCGCCGATGGACCGACCTTGGACGATCCATACGAGCAGCATTCCGAGCAACATGGCCACACTGACATCCCAGCATCGCCATCAACAAGAAGCACGCCAACTCAAGGGCAAGAAGACCAACACTCAATCGCCCTTAGCCCCGGGTGTCAGTGAGCGGGGAGCAGAGGCCTGAAACGCGAACCCCTTCAAGCAGTGACATTGAAATTAAAAATCGATGCACGACTCGGCCAACAGTTGCGCACCAGGGGCCTCTCGTCGGTCCATGCGCCAGCTGCAGAAAGCCGAAACAAACACATCCCTGTCAGCCCGATGGCTCGACTGCTGTAGGACACGAACCCCGGCCGCGAAGCGAGAAGCGGTCCAGCTCTTTCTTTTTTCGGTTCACTCTTTATCGATGAATCTCACCAACTTGGCAGCTCAATCCGTCGCTTACCTGGCTTTATTCCCCTTCCCGCGAAGGCCCCCTCTTTGCGCAATCGCCCCACGAGCGCCGCCGATGCCCGACGCTTGACCCACGGCGGCTGGGCCCCCCCTTCTCATGTTTGCAATTCTACCACGTTGGGTGCTTGGCCCGGTGTGTGGTCTTGGCTGAGCAATCCAACTCAGTTTTGTCCTTGAGCGTCCACTGACCGACCCAATGGTTGCGATGCGGGTTGGCGCCGTTTCTGATAGAAATGAGTGCTCCTTAATTGGAAGCTCTGGCGCTACTTGACGCGCCCATGGAGGGTCCCCCCCCCGGCTGGATTAGTCGAAGTATCGACGGGCACGTCACGTCATGGCTGGGGAGAAGCCGTCCTATGCGGCCTGTCAAAGTCGTGCCCTTCGTCTGAAGTCGTCCACTGCATAGGGCGGTAAGACCTCGTGGCGCCACCCTCTGCTTGTGATCCCCCTCCTCGCCTCCGCCTGAAGACGTCGCGATCGTAGGGTTTGACTGGCCAGGGTCCCTGTCGTCGAGGTCCACAACGCCCCTTTCATTGCCTCAACACCAAGCAACCTCACAATGTCGATGCTAGCGCAAGATCCCCGGCAGTGCTTCCGAGGAGTGTGGCCATGCGGTGGGCCATCAGGGAAGGGGCATGAAGGCTGGAGACGAGGGCCAGCGCTAGTAGGAAAGGTAGAGAGGCAGGCGGAGAGGCAAAGGGGGTGAAGAAGAAAACTCCAAAGAATGATACTTAAGAGCATGTCGGCTGCAAGTGTTCATCTGGTTTCTGCCCTCTCCCTCTTCATACACATTGCCTCGTCCTTCATTATTTCCTACCAAATCATCTCTATACCACACTCTTTCTTCCCATATCATCTCTGTACCACGTTCTTTCTTCCACTCTCTTGATCAAGCCAAGACGTTGATCGTCCAACTCTGTTCAGTCTTTGAAAACACTAGCATAACAACAACAACAACAACAACAACAACAACCTTGTACCACCGCACCACTTTCAAATCGTCAAGATGAAGTTCTCCGGTATTGCCTCTTCCGTCGCCGTCCTGGCCGCCGTCGCCAGCGCGACCCCCACCCCCGCCTCGTGGACCCCCAAGTCCCTCCTGGCCACCCGCACCATCGAGAAGCGTGCCTCGGTCGAAGACGCCTGTGACATTGGTTTCTGCACCGAGGGCACCGGCACTACCGGTGGTGCCGGCGGTCCCACCACGACCGTCACCTCGCTCGCCGACTACCAGGCCGCGCTCGAGGCCGAGGGTGCCGCCATTGTCGTTGTTAACGGCGCCATCTCTGGCAGCGCCCGCATTCGCCTCGCCTCTGACAAGACCGTCATTGGTCTTCCCGGCTCGTCCATCACTGGCATCGGCCACTACATTAACAAGCAGTCCAACGTGATCCTGAGGAACCTCAAGATCTCCAAGGTCGTCGCCGCCAATGGTGACGCCATTGGCATCCAGGAGTCCACCAACGTCTGGGTCGACCACTGCGACCTCTCGTCCGACCTCAGCCACGGCAAGGACTTCTACGACGGCCTGCTCGACATCACTCGTGCCTCGGACTTCATCACCGTGTCCAACACGTACCTGCACGACCACCACAAGGCCTCGCTCATCGGCCACAGCGACAACAACGCTGCCCAGGACACTGGCAAGTTCCACGTTTCCTACATTAACAACCACTGGGAGAACACGGGCTCGCGCAACCCCTCGGTTCGCTTCGGCACCGCCGTCCACATCGTGAACAACCTCTACGACAACGTCGGCCTCACCGGTGTCAACGCCCGCATGGGCGCCCAGGTCCTCGTCGAGTCGACCTCGTTCGTCAACTCGGCCAACCCCATCGTCTCGCGCGACTCGAAGAAGACGGGCTTCGTCGTCGTCAAGGACGTCATTGGCGCCGCCGACAACGCCGTCCCCAAGGGCACACTGACCTCGGTCCCCTACGCCTACACCGCCCTCGGCTCCGCCAACGTCGGCTCCGTCGCCCAGACCGCCGGCCAGAAGCTCACCTTTGACGGCTCCTCTGCTCCCGCTCCCGCTCCCGCTCCCGCCACCAAGCCCTCTGCCCCCGTCGCTGACGACGAGGAGGTCGAGGAGGTGTGCACCCGCCGCCGCGTCAAGAAGAGCCTCCGCCGCAAGGCTCTCCGCGCCTAAACTGGTGACATGCCTGTACGAGGATGAAAGGAGAAGACGGATGAAGCTGAGAGCCCGAGGGGCGGGAAATTTCGGGACGCCCATTGCATCCTTTATTTTCCCCTTGCAAGCGAGCGCCTGAAAGTTTTTGTTGTATATAATTCTTTCTTCGAGGCACAGAGTGCTTGTCAATACAGTTGCCGGTTCCAACCACTTTCCTCCTTTTGATGTCATGTGTGTTTGCTTGTAGGGGTTGTCGCAGAGGGCACTTGTGCACCATGACTCGTCCTTTCTGGTTCTTGAAGAGACCAGGGCGAATCGACCATGTTGAGGCAGCTCCGGCCTCCAGATTGCAGCTCAACTCGAACAATAACTCAACTAAGAACCGATGATCACTCATCTATCTTCCATACATCCCCACGAGCATGAACGAAGTACAAAGCCACGTGCCGTCTAGTCAGGACGTTGACTTGGCCGACAGCCAGACAAGAAAGGACCCAACTTGACCAAAACGACAACAGTAGCCAGCGTTGCAATCTCCCCATATCGCCCCTAAACGGGGTTACGCTCCCACTTCTCGAGGCCCCGGACGCCAAGACGAGCGATCGGCAAATCACCATCCCCTCAGCCTGCACGTGCCGGGCATCCCGGCGACGACAACCACCTCGCCGGCTCTTGGCCCGGCGCACGTGTTGAACAGCACCGGCCGACGGGTGAGGGGCAGCCAATTGTCTGTTGTCGGCTATGCAGGAACAGCGTCGTGTTCGTCGTGCTGCACTTAACAGCACCGGCCAGTTCCCTGTCGCTCGTGTCGTTATCCATCATCGGCCCAGGCATTGCAGATCAACAGTTGAAATGACAGTAATGCGACGCAATAAGAGGCCGTCTGGTCCCTTGCCTTAGGCCCATGTCCTGCCTCACCCTCCATCTCACAGAAGTCGCAGGCCGATTCGCTTGGCTCCTGGTCGCGGGACGCAGCGCCATCTCACCATGAGCTTTGCCACCTTCGTTCTCGCCATCCTGGCTGTCACCGGCGTCGCTCGCGCAGCGGCCGGTGTATCGCTTGACCCAGTCCAGCCCGTTCTGCTGCCGGACGGCGCCTATGCGAAGAACCCGCTTTCGCATCTTGGCGGTAATGGCCCGTGGACTGCTGGCAAGTCGACACGTCGTTGAGACGCTGCGATTGACGAGACTAACGCATTGTTCCAGCCGGAGATGTCAATGGCATTTCCTCCGCCATCCCGGAGAACTGTCACGTCGACCAAGCCGCCTATGTTCTCCGCCACGGCTCGCGCTTCCCTGACACGGGCGCCCACAACGGCTGGCTTGAGATGGCTCGCCGTGTAAGTCGCCTGTTCTCACCTGGCCCAAAAGGAGGAAAAGCTGACGGCAGCCCAGTTCAAGGAGAGCAGCTACAAGGCCACCGGCCCATTGTCGTTCTTTCACACGTGGGACACGCCGCTCACGCGTCCCGACAATCAGATCGCCCAGCTCAGCAAGACGGGCTACAAGGAGCTCTACGACTTGGGCTACACGCTGCGCACGCGCTACCCGGACCTCTACGACGAGGGCGACGAGTTCTTCGTCTGGGCCAATAACTACCCGCGCGTCCTTCAGACGGCGCAGCTGTTCGTTCGCGGCTACCTCGGCCCCAACTCGACCCTGCTCGGCAACGTCGTCTCCGTCACCGGACGCGGCGTGCCCGCCCACCTCGGCGACACGCTCGCGCCCTCGGACATGTGCCCGGCCTTCAAGGACGACAGCAGCAAGCAGACGAACGCGTGGCGCTCCCTCTGGCTGCCGCCCTTCATCGAGCGCCTCTCGCAGTACATCTACGGCGACCTGGTCCTCGACGACAGCCACTGGAACGACTTCCCCTACATCTGCGGCTTCGAGTCCCAGATCACCGGCCGGCTGTCGCCCTTCTGCGACACGTTCACCCAGGAGGAGCTCGAGCAGTACGAGTACCACCAGGACCTGCGCTACTACTACGGCGTCGGCCCCGCCGTCGACGTCGCCTCCAAGATGATGACGCCCTTCCTCAACAGCCTCGTCCGGCTCCTCGCCAAGGGCCCCGCCGTAGCCGGCGTCCGCGCCGACGGCACGCCCTTCACCCTGCCCAGGCTCCTCATGAGCTTCCTCAACGACGGCCAGCTCAACCAGCTCGCCGCCGCCCTCGGCGTCTTCGACGGCCAGAACCCCCTGCCCACGGACCGCATCCCCAGCGACCGTCTCTGGCGCAGCTCCCGCATCTCCCCGATGCGCGGCACCATTGCCTTGCAGCGCCTCAGCTGCCGCGTGAACGGGCCCGTCCCAGCGACGACGACGACGACGACGACGCGAAGCTGCGTGCCGCGCCCGACGGCCGCCGCGCGCGGTGGCACCAGCGCGCGCAACGAGACGTACATCCGCATCCGCATCAACGAGGCCGTGTACCCCGTGCCCTCGTGCCAGGACGGACCCGGCAAGTCATGCGCCGTCGCCAGGTACGCCAAGTTCGTGGCCGACGCGCGTGAGCGGAACGGCGACTTTGCCAGGCTCTGCAATGCCACGGACCCGGCGACGCCGAAGAAGGTCAAGGGCGCCAGTTTCTTCACGGACCTGGGGAAGGATCACCTGCAGATTGTGAAGCCGTAGGGATGGCCTGCAGACGTACGTAGCCTAGTTGACCGGATGCGATGCCTTAATTTTGCTAGCTGCAGTACTGCATTTCGTGATTGAGCCCTCGGAGTTTGAGTCAAGCTTCATCTCTCCCGATGAACACCCCGCTCACAGCGTGTCGACCGCTTCATTGCTAGGACATCCGTCAGTCAGCATTATAATAGAGACCCCTGAGTGTCTAATATTTAGTACTTGATGGTCACGCGAGTTCGGGGCAGAAAGATAAGTATCACTAAAGTCAAATATATACAAGAATCGCTCTTCCCATCAGCCTACAAGTTGCCCTGGCCGTAGAAAACGCCACGACCATTGGTGCCAACATACACCAAGCCTGCCTCGTTGCCGCTGCCGGCAATCCTGGCGCCATCGACAGCGCCAAAGCCAATCTCGCCCTGGAGGTCGGTCCAGCTGGCACCGCCGTTGCCGCTACCGTACAGCTTGGGCCCGTCGGCGCCGTCGCCAAATGTGTAGACGTTCCATCCGTTGGCTCCCACACCAAGGGACACCTGCCACGTGTTGGTGACTTCGGTGGAGATCAGGGTGAACGTCTTGCCAGAGTCGGTGCTGTGGAAGATGCCGACATTGGTCGAGGCCCACACGTCGCCGGCCTTGGTCGGATGGGCGGCAATGGAGCGAACCGAGTTGGCACCCTGGAGTGCACCTCCCTTGGCAAAGGCAGCACCGCCATCGGTGGAGACGTAAAAGGCGTCCGAGCCAGCATAGAATACCTCGTCATTGCGCTTGTCGCTGGCAATCACGGAGCCGGCTGCTAGGCTCGAGACGCGAGACAGCGGGCCCTGGTTAGTCGACCGCTGGACACCGACGCCAGAGGTGGACCATAGAACGCTCGTGCCGTCGGCCGACAGAGCAACGGAGCCGCCAGCCTGGGTGCTGCCGTTGGCGGGATGAAGACCCCAAGTGACACCGCCGTCGGATGACGTGGCCAGCTGGGCACTGCCCTCGACATTGCCGACGCGGACGACCTCGGACACCGAGTTGCCAGCATAGTCCACACCGCTCGAGCCAACAAACATGGGTGTGTTCCAAGCCGTCTTGGGAGACGTGTTAAGGTCGGCCTTGCTCTTGAAGGTGAAGCCGCTATCGTCGTGGACGCCAGCAAAAAGCTCACTGCCGCCAGGCGCCGAAGCCAGGTCGAGAACAGCAAATTCCTCAATGCCGTCGGCGAGAGACTCAATGTTGATCGAGGCGTTTGAATCCCAGTTAGTGAGGTCGTGTCCACCAAAGACGGTCAGGCCTGTGCCGTACAGCCAGTGGTCGCTATCGAAGGGGTTAATCTCGAGCGACTCGATCATCCAGCCAAGCTTCTTGGAGTCAACTGCGATAAAGTCATGGTTGATCCAGGGCGCTTTGGGAGTGTCAATCTTGTATTTGGCGTTGATTTCTGGGTAATTGGCCCACGTCCAGATTTGAGACCACGTTGCACCGGAATCGGTGGAGCGGAAGAGCTGCGCATCGGGCCACCAGGAGTTCAGGGACGCAACAACCAGGGTGCCTGGGTTCTGGCTGTCCAGGGCCAGACCACCATATCCCCATGTCAGGTCCTCGCCAGTGACGGGAGTGATGTCAGTCCAGGTGGCCTTTGCAATATCATAGCGGTACACGGCGCCCTTGGCGCCGTCGTAAGGGCCCGCTGCCGTCGCTGTAGGTCAGGTACAAGGCGCCTTCCTTGGGCTCAACCCTGCCCTTGTGAGGAAGGAAGCCGGTGGGCTGGCCGGCGATGGCGGTCCAGGTAGCGCCAGCATCTTCAGAGACGTATACAGATTCGGCCGTCTTATCAGCCGTTCCGACAAAGATGCGCGACGTCGCGCCGTTGGCCGTCGCAGCGCTCGTGTCGAACGTGACAAAGGCCAGACCTTGCAAGTCGTTGCCATAGCCGCCAGCCTCGTTCGGGTTGGGGTTGAACGTTCCGGGGTTGGGGAACGAGGTGACCTCGGAGAAGGTCTTGCCGGCATCGGTGCTCTTCCACAGGCCCTTGCCGCTGCGAGCTCCAAAATAAATGATATCGGAGTTGGTGGGATCCACGGCCAGTCGTTCGCCCATGCCACGGCCGGGCATGTTGCCTCCGACCTTGAAAGGGAGCTCTGTGAAGGTCCAGGTCTTGCCTTGGTCGGTACTGCGGCCGATCGAGCCAGCATTGGGGTCCCTAACACATCCGGTGTGAGCAAAGGTGCTGATGGACTTGTGTTATTGGTCTCGCGGATGTGCCTCACCAGTCGTTCGTGTACATGCCAAAGGCGGCGAGAACGACATCGGGGTCGGACGGGTCGACGGCCAGAGCATCAATGCCCCATCTGTTCCTGCTCAAGGTCAGTCCCCCTCCGGAACAAGCCGCAAATAAAAAGGTCAGCATACCAGGTATCATTCTGCGCAATGTAGTCGGTGATGGGAGTCCATGAGTCGTCTGAGTTCCAGCGATAGATTCCGCCAATGTCAGTCCTCGCGTACGCGACACCCTTGGCATTGGGATGGAAGACGATGCTGGGCACAAAGCCGCCACCGCCTCCGATGCGGACATTTTGCCAATCGAGGGCGGCGCGAGCCGTGCCAGCGGCCGCGAGAAGAAGCTGAAGGTACTTCATGACTGTTCGAGGTCCGTCAAGCCGGTTGATGCTGGGATGCAAGGACGAGTGGGATGATCAGACGAAGAGATCGATCGCGGGTTATAAATGGTTCAACAACGAGGATTCATGACAATCTGCTGCTACCGGGGCCACCCCAGACCTCGTGAGCAAGCTCATGCATGAAGAGCCATCACGTCGGCGCTCCAGCAAACACCCCATGAAGAAGGAGAACCGTAGTCAAGGTCGGGTGCCACACATTGAGTGGGCAACACGCGGCTCCCGTCCAAGAAGCAGGCATACTACCCCGGCATTCATCTACTCTGATACCTGCCATTCCCAGGATGGAAGACAAGCCTCCGGTAGGATGATGTTCAAGGCGTCATGAAGGCGGACGCAATGGCCGGCTCATGGGCGAAAGCTCCGGGTACAAGCGACAAGCGCTGGCTTCGGATTCGTGCGTGCCCAACAAAGAAGGGATCTGCCGGCGCCAAGTCGAGAATGGCAGATTCTCAGGGGGTCAATGGGGCGGATATGGAGCCATCAGATGGTGCGGGTCGAAGGGTGGGCGCAGGCTTGGAGGTTCTTGGGAAATGGTCGATCAGCAAGTTTTGGGAACGTAACACTGACTCCGAGTCTGCTTTTGAACCACCTCGGTGCGAGGGTGACGATCATCTCACTTCTGGAGATGCCCAGAGGCCCCAGCACGAGAGAGGGGGTCATGCTATAGTCGCCTCGTTGGTGGGAGTTCGTGAGCGTGATGTTGATGATCAAGAGGAGAAAACCTTGGCCTTCCACAAGGACTCGAAGGGAAGCCCGAGATGGAAGGACCAGACAGGGCAGGGACCAGGGCATCACCTTCCGGGCTACCTCACTTCTGAGTCGTCAGCCGTTTCGCCCAGAGTGAAGTGGAGCCTTCCGGGCGGCGATGCGTTATGTAAGCGCCCTCTTCGAGATCCTGAACTGCCGAGCCAATCATGACGATTGAATCCCGACACTTGTCCAGTCACGTGGCTTCCCCGCAATCCCCGCCTTTCTCCAGGTCGTGCCTGCCTCTGGCTCGTCCCTCACGAGGCGTCACCTCGGCAGGGGCTTCCTCTATGTACCCCTCGTGATGTTGTGTCATGATCAGATCCCCTCCTTGTATCCTGTGACACGCTATACGCTACATGATTTGATTGTTCCATCCCTGCCTTGATTGTATCATTATTCTGCTTAATTCATTCCGAGTTCCAAGCTCTGGCTCATTTCCCACCAAGGCCATTACACCCGACGGCCCGTGTCGTACATCCGCAGGTGTCATCTCAGCTGCGCAGAACCCTTGCGCCTCTTCGCGAATCTCGATCAAGCGTCAACCATGTCAATCCAGCATGGCGCCGAACCGACCATCGACGAAGACGCCGTCCTGCATTTTGACGTCCAAGTGAGAGCCAATACACCAAGCAGCCAGAGCAGTGCTTCAAGTGAAGTCCGAGACGAGAGCTTGGCTCCTCCCGCTTTCAGCCGACCTGGACACCATCTCCCCGTTGCAACCCCTGACTGGAATAACCTCAAGGTTCTCCACCATAATACCCTGCCCCCACGGAGCACCTTCTTCACCTATCCGAACGAGAAGGACGCCCTGACGTGGGATGTCAGCAAGGCCAAGGCCATCTGCCTGTCAGGAACCTGGAAGTTTCACCTGTCAACCTCACCCTTCGATGGCCCGCGCAACTTCTGGGAGGCTGGTTACGACCATGACGCTGCCGAGCATCAGTGGAGTGACATTGCCGTCCCTGGCATGTGGCAGTGCCAGGGCTTTGGGAAAGGTCCCCAGTACACCAACTACAACTTTCCCTTCCCTGTGGACCCGCCAAACGTCTCCTACACCGATAACGAGTGCGGCAGGCACCTGACGACCTTCAAGGTTCCTCATTCCTTCAAAAATCATCAGCTGCGGTTGAGGTTTGAGGGCGTCGACTCTGCCTTTACCGTTTGGGTCAACGGCCACAAGGTCGGCTACTCACAAGGATCGCGTAATCCCAGCGAGTTCGACATTTCCAGAATCGTCACGGCTGGGCGCTCCGCCACTCTTGCCGTTGAGGTCTACCAGCGCTGTGACGGCACCTACATTGAGGACCAGGACCAGTGGTGGCTCAGTGGCATCTTTAGAGACGTCTACCTGCATGCCTTTGAGCGCTTCAGTCCGCACGACATCCACATCCAGACGCTCCTGGATGACGACTACAAGAATGCCGTCCTCAAAGTTGGCGTCACTACGAGCGAGTTCACCTTTGTCTCGTTGAGGCTACTCGACGCCGACGGCGAGCCAGTGTTCGGGGAAACCCACCATGGCGCGACCCTGGCGCAGGGCACCACCGACCTCACGTTTGAATTACCTGTCAAGAACCCACACAAATGGACGGCCGAGACACCATATCTATACACGCTCTTGCTCGGCTTCCCTGGCTGCGTCATCCCGCAGCGTGTCGGCTTCCGCAGAACTGAACTCGTCGATGGCGTCTTTTGCGTCAACGGCGAACCAATCAAGCTCAGGGGCGTCAACCGTCACGAGCATCACCCCGACTCCGGACGGGCTGTGCCGTATGAGTTCCTCAAGCGCGACCTCTTGCAGATGAAGGAGTACAACATTAATGCCATTCGTACGTCACATTACATTAATGACCCCAGGCTGTATGATCTGGCCGATCAGTTGGGATTGTGGATCCTCAACGAAGCGGACCTTGAATGCCACGGCTTTGCATCAGTCGGCGGCGACGCGTCCAAGTTTACGTCTGATAACCCTGACTGGAAGGAGGCCTACGTCGACAGGGCGCGTCAGATGGTGCTGCGCGACAAGAACCACGCGTGCGTGATCATCTGGTCGCTAGGGAACGAGGCGTTCTACGGACGGAACCATCAGGCCATGTATGACTTCATCAAGAGCGTTGACACGACGCGCCTTGTCCATTACGAAGCGGACTACGGAGCGCGGACGGTAGACATTTACAGCAGGATGTACTCCTCGGTCGAGAGCGTCATCAATGCGGCGAGAGACAAGGACTGGGAGAAGCCCTTGGTTTTGTGCGAGTACATCCATGCCATGGGCAACGGGCCAGGAGCCATCCGGGAGTACGTCGAGGCGTTCTATCGGTACCCTAGGCTCATGGGAGGATTCGTCTGGGAGTGGGCCAATCATGTGAGTTGTGCGCCATGTGTGCAAAAGGCCTAGCTGACCCCTCCAGGGCCTGCGCACGAAGACGAAAGATGGCGAAGAGTACATGGCGTATGGCGGTGACTTTGGAGACAACCCCAACGACAAGAACTTTGTCATGGACGGGCTGTGTTTCTCAGATCATACGCCGACTCCGGGTCTCGTCGAATACAAGAAGGCCATCGAGCCTGTACAGGTACTGGGACTCGACGGCGACGAGGTGACCGTGATCAACCGATACGATTTTCTCACGTTGGATCATTTAACGTGCCACGCCCACTTTCTCACCGAGGATCGCCGCTTTGCAGAGATCTCGATTTCCATTCCGAAAGGTTGGTCCATGAATGTCTACTTGTCGAGGTTGTGCTGACAACTCCAGGCGTTAAACCACACACAAAGGCCAAGATTAAGATTCCCCGCCCAAGTGACTTGGAAGTCGTTGCAGGAAAAGAAGCCTTCTTGAACTTGAGGTTCAGCTTGAAGGTGTCCACATCCTGGGCACCTGCTGGCCACGAGGTTGCATGGGGCGACATCCAAATTGGCCAGCCAGACAGCCTGACGGCGAGCCTGCAGCATCTGAGCATAGAACCAAACACTACTCCTCTCCCCACGATAACGCAAGAGTCTTCCAATTTTCTATCGATCACCTCAAGCAGCGGCTTGAAAACGTGGGGGTTCGACCTCCACGAGGGCACGCTGACGAGCGTCACGCGCGGCGACCAGCCCAAGCTCAACCTGCTCACCTCCCCCATCACGCTCGACTTCTACCGCGCCCTCACCGACAACGACCGCGGCGGCCGCTTCGGCTGGGAGTGGCGAGACCGCCGCCTCCACCAGACCCAAGCCCATGTGCGCAGCGCCGAGTGGCGCGAGACAAAGCACAGCCTCGAAGTGACGGTCCACGCGCGCATCGCGCCCCCCGTGCTCGCGTGGGGCGTCGACACGGCGACGACCTTTTCCTTCCGCGGCGAGGCGTGCCACATCACGATCAAGGGCACGCCGCGGGGGCTGCGTCTGCCGGGCACCTTTGCGCGCATCGGCCTGACGCTCGGCCTCGCCGGCGTCGACGAGGTCGAGTGGTTCGGCCGCGGCCCGGGCGAGAGCTACCGCGACAAGAAGATGAGCCAGCGGTTCGGCACGTGGCGACGCGGCGTCGACGCCCTCTTCATCGACTATGAGTTTCCCCAGGACGGCGGCAACAGGACGGACGTCCGGTGGGTCAAGTTCAAGCAGCTGCTCAGCGGCGGCGGCGATCCTGGCACGCTGCTCACGGCGCGGTTCGGCGACCTCGAGGGCGCCTCGTTCTCGGCCATGCACTACACGACGGCGGACCTGGACGAGTGCCAGCACCCGTATGAGCTGCACAAGCGGCGGCGGGACGACACGATTGTGAGGCTCGACTGGGCGCATCACGGGCTGGGGACGGGGTCGTGCGGGCCGGCGACGCTGCCGCAGTACGAGCTGAGGTCGGAGGGCTTTTCGTACGAGTTGCTGCTTGAGTAGTCTGGGTGGTGAATTTTCCTCGGCCATGTTGCGTGTTGTCGTTCTGCACTTTTTCCTGGTGAGCATGATTTCTGTCGGCATCTCGAGGTGTTTTTATGCAGCTATGTACGATGATCAAGCCTGGTGGTATTTGTTTGGGGTCATTACCCGCGGTCATTGTCAACTGATGCTCTTCAATTCCATATGGCTGGGTTGAATCATAGTATTGGACTTGAGTAAGTGCCTTTAAATCGCATCGCTGGTCTATCTTCATCATCAAATTGCAGTCATCTCCCTAATCATGCCGCACCCATCTCGCCATGTCTGCCAAAACACGCCACACCATCAATGCACCGGCGGCAAATGCAGCCTGTCCTCCCCAGCCAGCCCCTTGACCTCCATCCCGGCAAACGCGCGCGTGGGCGTCTTCTGCGCAAACAGCCAGTCGAGCTCCTCGTACGTCCGGCCCTTGGTCTCCGGCAGCCGCAAGAAGGCCCACAGAAAGGTCAGCGCGGCGGTGGTCCCCCAGAAGAAGCCGGCGTAGCCCTTGAGGTTCAGCTGGCGCGGGTTCATAAAGTAGGGCTGCAGGGCGTTGGACATGACGAGCACGACGTAGTAGGCGTTGCGCGCGAGGCAGATGGTCTTCTGGCGCAGGCGCGTGGAGCCCACTTCGGAGGGGATGGACCAGCCGAGCTGGCCGACGGACAGTTGGAAGACGAAGGTCCAGAGCAGGGTGAGGACCGCCTGGGTGATGCCGACGGCCGTTGTCGACGTCCACATGTTGAGGACGCCGATCAGCAGGAGGACGCCGCACATGGTCGACAGGCCGTGGAGGTAGATTTGTCGGCGGCCGTAATACGGCATCAGGGCGAACCAATTGACGAATGTGCCGACGAGGGCCATGGCCGTGCCTCCAATGTTGAGCTTGTAGGTCCACTCGGTCGAGACACCGACTTGCTGGAAGAAATAGGTCGAGTTGTAGGCGAAAGCAGATCCAGAGAGGACCTGGCCGGCAAACGCGAAGCAGGCGATTTCGGTTCGACGACGCTCGATCCCGCGGAAGCAGTCCCAGTAGCTAGTGCCGGCGGTGATTTCCATCTCGAGCTTGTTCGTGCGGATGATGCCTGCGAGGATGGCCTTGACGTGTGATCGCGATGCCGACTTCTTCTGCAACCGGTGGAGGGATTCTTCGGCTTCGTTGAGACGTCCCTGGCGGACGAGGTGCCAGGGCGATTCGGGGGCGAAGACCAGGATGGGAATTAGAAAAGCCGGCCACACCCACTGGATAGCAAAGGGGATACGATACGCCCACTCGTCGGTCCGCGACACGAGCGTGGCCAGGACACCGGCTGCGATCAATTGTCCAATGATGAAGCACATGTTGGTCCAGGACGTCAGGTATGCGCGCAAGCACATTGGCAGCACTTCAGACGCATAAGCGGGCGCAGACGAAGCGAAGATACCCCACGGGATACCGCAGAGAAGCTGGCCGAACATGAGCACCATGATTCTATCGGCGAAGAAGGTAATGAAGACGAAGAGCGAGAGGGCACCGAGGGCGCCGACGATGACGCGCTTCTGGCCGTACCGATCGACAAGGAAGCCGTTGATGGTGACGCCGATGAAACAACCAACTGTACTGGCGTTGCCTAGAGTAGCCTGCCACACCGCAGAGAGCTGATGCTGTCCCTTGTCGTCGACGTATTGGCCGTATTTTTCCGCAAAGGCGGGGTAGGCGAAGAAGTTGCCGATGAGGATGGCATCGTAGCCTGGGGCTGGTCAGCAAGACGGCGTGACCGGAGAGACAGACAGAGCATACCTTCCATAATGACACACATGGACACCATGAGACTCCAGAAGATAGCCATGGGATACATTTTGATGGCCTGCCACGGCGTCAGAGCATGCTCAGCCGCCATGGCCTGGCGGGCTTGGCGTTCCGTTGTGTCAGGGCCATCGTCGGAGCCCTCAAGGTGATCGTGGCGAGACCTGCCACCGAGAATACCGCGACTGCCGTCGTCGGAAACAGGCGATGCTGTGCCTGATAGCAAGGCGACAGCTTCATGGGGGTGTTGGGGCTCGTCCTGGTCTAGTGAGGGCCGCGAGGATGAGTCGGAAGGTCGGGGGAGTGCCCCATATTCCCGGCTTCGAGAAGACGAGGCCATATCGTGGGAGGCTTGGGTGGATGAAATGATGGTGAGCTTTCGATGAGTGAAGAGGCAGGCGGGGTTCGGCGGGATGCCTCCAAGGGCTGCGAAGCTGCACCAACCGGACCTATCGGGATGCCATTCGATAGGGTGCCCTCAGGTGATGTAGCTGGTGGAATTTAAGCTTGAGACACTTGGAGTCGTTGGACCAGGTCCCCGAGGTGGTCAAGATAGAACAGACTGCTGCTGGTCCCGACTGCGTTGAGAGGCGCGACCAGAAAGACAGGCAGAGGAGGTTGAGGTCGGGGCAGATGGCTAAAATGAGGCAGGCGGTGAGACAAGACGGACAGGCGCGGCGGCACGTGGTACAGTGAGGAGACAGGGCCTCGTGATTGGGTCATTCATCAATATGATACGTCCCAATCAGACGCGCGAAAACCATCTCCTGATGCCAACCTCGAGGCATCACAGAGCTCACCTGGTGCACTGCTCCATCACTGGACCCAGATCGTTCTGCATCACACAAACTTCATCCGAGGAAGCAGCAGCACCATAGGCTTCCATCCAAGCTCGATAGATCGAGCAACGGGACGGCGCGTGCCAGGCGTAGCAGACATTGCCGGACGGGGGTCGCGGCTTGACTCGGGACGCACCAATCAGCACGATGCAAAACCGCCAGACAGGCCTTGAGGCATCACCACTTTCGGCGAGAGCTGCACCTCAGGAGTGTGTCGCATCGGTTTTTGTCTGCCCATTCACGATCTCTCGGATATAGCCCGCGCCGCTAGCGGGTTTGGATCACCTGGACTGGCTCCGGGGGAGGAGGGAGGAAGGGACGGTGAAAGTACTTAAGGCTGGGTTGGCCCTGACATCCTGGTGTTGAGGATGAGCTTTGGAGGGTTGAGAGCTGGCAGCCTTTCAAGTTGGAAGTCCATCATGAGGGGTAGAGTTGCGGCCACTTCGTTCTCTTCTTCTCATCTGCAGCGCAACTAGTGTTGACGTTGTGATGGGGAAGAGAAGAATCAGCCAAGTCGGCTCTTCAACTGTTCACATGCGGCTGTTCTTTGTTTTCCGTTTCGTCAAGATGCTGTTGAAGATACTTCATCCAATCAGGTGCCTCAGCAATAACCATGAGTTCCTTGCTATCTGGCCCACGACGCAGTCACCAGTCGCTCGAGAGTTGACGGGGTGCCATTACATATGGCTACTCGGACATAAGACACCCAGTACTCAAAGCGAGAATGGAAGTATAGTATTTACTACTCAGTGTCGACAATCCCATGTCGGGAAGAACAGTCAGCTTCCATGTCTTCATCAAGACCAGAGTCTTTGAGGCAGCCACTCACAGCCATAACCAGCTGGCAGCCCATCGGAGTGAGGCTCCCGACTCCAATGGAGCTTAGGTGCATCGGCCCAAGCCACGACAGGCTGCGAGGCCATAAAAGCTCCTGCTGCACCTGCCTACAGTACCTACCTTAAGGTAGGTAGGTGCCTAGGTATGGCAAGGTACTAGAGTACCTACCTAAGGAGGCCATTTAACCGAAAGACCCTAGAGCCACGCTGAGGCGGGGCCCCAGCCAACCCACAGTTCTTGACGTCTGGCCACTCACAACGCGTCTACGCCACTCCTTCACTCCTTCCCCGCGACGGACATTGCCATCTGACCTCCGCGTTTCCTCGCCTGCTCCTTCCGCCCAACCGCCTCATGCCACTCGCGCAAGGACCCCTCCTCCGCCTTCTGGCTTGTCGCCGCCAGCCTCATCGCCTCCTCGCCAGGCCCTCATCAAATCTGCGGTAACATGCCGCACACTCGACCCAAGAGATGAGGTACTCAACAGCATGCTCGGCCTGTCGGTGAGTCCCTTCTTCTTCTCCATCTCTGCGCAAAGTGAATGGACCTTCCACCCCTGAGGCCATGAGATCGTCCCCTCCTGTGACGAGGACCCTGCCTGCATATGGCATCAGAACCAGGACACATGGTCCTCGTACATCAAAGACCACCCATTGACACCCGAACAGAGCTCGAAGGCGAAAATGCGAAGTTCCCATCCCCGGCGGCCAGTGCGCCTACTGCAGCGCCCAGAACCTTGCCTGCTCGCGCGCTGGCTCCATCATCCAGCCCAAAAAGTCACCCACAAGCCCTGTGCCGCCAGCAGTTGTGTCCATGGACATGACCATGACCCGTGACATGGGCCACGTCATGAGCCCAACGACGACAACGACGGCGACAGCCATGACCCTGACGACAGGAGCGGCGGCGACGACGACAAACACGTCACCCCAGATCATGGGCATCTCGCCGGCCGCCGCCGTCCAGGACAAGGCCCTCTGCTTTGAGCTGGTCGAGCTGTACTTCAAGTACATCCACGACCAGCTGCACTCGCTCTTCCACCGTCCGAGCTTCATGCTCGACCTCCACGAGGGCACGGCGCCCCTCGTTCTTGTCTACGGCATGATGGCCCTGTCGGCGCGCTTCTCGTCGAACCACGCCTTCAGCGGCATCCCGCCCATGGCCCGCGGCGAGCACTTTGCCACCGAGTGCAACCTGCTGCTGAACCTGCGCGACGTGTCACTGACGACGAGCCAGGCGTGCGTCCTGCTGGGCGCCGTGAGCATCGTCGAGGGCGAGGCCGGCGCCGAGACGGTCTACTACGCTGCCGCCTGCCGCATCGCCAACTTTCTCGACCTGCCGAACATGCCGACGCCGGATCCGCTGCAGCGCGAGATCCACATCCGAGGTAGGCAGTTCTCGATGCGTCCTTTTGGCTCTGTTTTTTTCTTGCTAAGCTGAAATCCCACCCACAGTCTACTGGTCCCTCTGCATGATCGACGTGTGGTCGTCGACGGGCGTCAACCTGCCGCTGCTGATGAACCGACGGCACGACGTGCCGCTGCCGATGAACGAGTCGACGTTTCTCAACATGAGCCGCGCGAGCAGCAACCACTTTGACTTTATCCTGTCGCCGAACCGCGAGGACTCGCTGATCGCGCAGAACATCAAGCTCAACAGCATCCTCATGAAGGTCAACGACGCCATCAAGACGCTGACGTCGGACGCGTCGGTCACGAGCATCGACGAGACCGTGTCGAGCCTGTCGCAGGAGCTCGAGGCCTGGGAGGTGGCGCTGCCGCCGAGCATCCGCGACACGCCGTCGAACCTGCACGCGTTCGCGTCGCAGGGCCAGGGGCGCATCTTCATCGCCGTGCACGTGAGCCACTACCACTTCTCGCAGCTGCTCTTCTACCAGTACCTCGACGAGCAGCAGCGGTTCCCCGCGTCCCTGACGGCGCAGGCGTTCGCGCGCAAGTGCAAGTCGAACGCGGCGTCGCTGTCGCGCATCATCGACCTCGCCAACACGACGCCCGGCTGTGACTGCTTCTTCAACATGCTCGGCCACATCATCGTCGTCACGTCGTCCGTCTTCATCCACACGCTCCTCTTCGAGACGGACGAGGCCGAGGTCGCCGCCGCCCGCGCCCAGCTCGAGCGCAACTTCAACTCGCTCGTCACCCTGCGCCAGTACTGGCCCGCCCTCGAGGTCTGCTTTGCCCGCCTCAAGACGTTCCACGAGCTGTGCCGTAAGAGCACCGACCACACCTACCGCATGGACCGCTGGATGCTGCGCTTCCTCACCGAGTTTGCCCGCCCCATTGACGAGAAGGAGCGCGAGGAGGAGGGCAGCGTCGACCTCGACCGCTGGAGCATTGGCAACATTGGCATCAGCCCGGAGAACTGGGCGTAGCCCTCCTGTGTCTTTCTCACTGCACGGGCAAGCGGGCTGCATGGTGTACATAGGGGCAGGGAGAAGAGAAAGACTTGGGCGTTTGATTTGGGCTGGCCTGACGAGGAGCAGACGCAAAGGGACTTCTTTTGATTCGAGCAGGATAGTTGGGTGCGACTGTTCCAGATACCACGGCAACAATGAGCGTTGTGCTTTGACGACGTGCGGGCCACTCAAGTGATGTTTCTCAGTGTATGAAATGGACTGCCTGACCGTACCGTTCGCAGCGAAAATCGAACCTGACTCAAAATACTCGGCCAAAGGTCTTTATACAAACAAGCCTCAACAAATGATAAAGCACCTGAAGAATGACGTGAATTGTCTGGCAAATGCTAATATAGGCTCGTCTTAAATATCATGGTATATATGCTCGTCATGCTTGTGAAACAAAATTTGGTCCCGATCGTTCCGTCATTACGTCGTCCCCTCGTCGCTACGTCGTCCCTCGTCGCTACGTCCAAGCAGATCAAAACACAACGGCAGACACCTTCTCCCTGCTCTCGAGCCGTCCATCCTTCTCCTTCTTCTTGAACAACGACTTGAGCATGCTGTCCTTCTTCGGCCGAAGCACGTGCTCCAGCCCATTGTCGGACCCCGCAGCCGGCGCCGGCTCAATGGCGAGCACGGCCGTCCTCTCGCTTCGTTTCGACCGCGTCGACCGGTGGCTCCGCTGGCTGCCCGCGACGCTCTCGTCATCCTTGACCGTGAGCGCACTACTCCTCCGATCGGGAGCCTCGCTCTCGGGCTTTCGGCTGTGGTGCGACCTGTGCGTCTTGGTCGTCTTGGTCGTCCTGGAGCTGCGGTGTGTGCGCGAGCTCCGCTCCGACCGACCGGACCTCGAGACCATGTCGTCGTCCCCCCTCTCCTCGGCGCGTCGCTGCTTGCGCAGAGCCCGCTCGGCCTCGGGGCTGATGAGCTCGAAATCTGCGCTGTCATCCTCGCCAAACGGCGCGATGCCACGCCTCCACGACTCGATTGTGCTGAGCTCTTCCTCCAGAACGAGAGCCTCATCGTAGCTGCCCTGGCTGCCGCCGTACCCGCCACCACGGGGCATCTTGGCGCCCGTCATCTCAGGGTGCACGCTCGGAGGGGCGTAGACTTGCGGCGCGGGTTCTGGCAAGGCCTCAAAAGCCATGGCCTCGGCGGCGATGGCCTCTTTCTGCGCCTGGGCATCCTTGATCTGCTTGACAATCTTCCATCCGCCAAACATGACGACTGTCATGCCCACAGCCGCGCCTGCCGCAATAAGGAACTGGGGAGACGCCAGCAGCGCAAAGACGGCAGGCGAGCCTCCCTTGAGCAGGCCAAGGAAGGCGGGGCTCATCGTCTTGAGCAGTTTCGACAACTCAGCAAGCGACAGGGCCACGGCGGCGGCGGCATTGGGATCGGCCTGCAGGCGCTTGATCATGGTGGTGGCAGAATACCCGACACACTCGGCCTCGTCGAGGAGGGATTCGACACGGCCGATGAGCGTCTTGGCTTCCGCCTCCTTGTAGGCCGGGTCAAGATCGGTGCGAGACTCGAGGTCGGGCGGGATGTTGCCATAGGCCAGGTTCATGTCAATCTCCTTCTCTTTTCGGCGCGGGGCCACGTCAAAGGTTGCCGCGCGCGCCAGATGGCCGGGCTCAGGAGGGGCTGGGGCGGACCGGATGCTGGGAGCCGGAACGCCGCGGATCGTCGTCGAATCGGCGAGAGACTCGGTGGCGGTAGGAGCTGTTGTGTAGTGGTGCAATGTCGGTCGGCTCAGGGCCATGTCGCGAGGAGCCGTCTCTGCGTAGGGGGATCGGTAGTCAATTGTCCGCGGCACGCGCGAGGGGGCCATGCTCGAGACTTCGGAGTGCGTCTTGAGGTTGCTCGCCGTCAGGGCGGGACGAGCATGGTATTCGACATCACCACGGGTCCGTCGTGAGGTCTGCGACTGGGAGCGTTTCGTTCGAGAGGTGCGGTGACTCCTGTGCGAGGCACGAGAGCGGGCGTCCTCCTGGTATTCGAGATAGTCGTCGTAGACGTAGGCGCGATTATGGGCGGAAGGAGGCGGCGGGGGCGCTTGGGCGTGGATATCGCGGGAGACATCAAAGGTCTGGGCGCGCTTGATAAAGGCCTTGTCGGCCTTGATGGCGGCCTTCTTCTCCTGGTAGCAGGCTTTAGCCTCCTTGAAGACGCCAAACAGCTGCTTGCCCTGTTCATGCGTGTCAGATATGAGATGTTCCAATGTGAC